TCCATTTAAAAGGTTATTGGTGAGTTGTTATTGTTAACTGAAAGTATATTTTTAAATAATGCTGAAGTAAAATAAAATACAATTTAAATATTAGATGAAAAACCTAAACTAAAACAAAATTTAAAATGCTGCCTTGTCACCCATAGATAGGCCTATCTATGTTGTCACCTGACCTAACTGAAATAAAGTATTCAGTTTTGTAGCTGACGCTGAAAGGTCAGCTGAGGGTTTTGGTGATTTCAGCAGTTAATGTTTATTTTGACTTTATAGTTTATTTGTGGACTTCATAATTTAAATGTGTATTTCTGTATTGTGAATTTCATAATTTGGTTGCCGTTTGTATTTTAATATTATTCTGTTGTTGAAGTTGAGTGTCATGTGACCTTGCGTGTGCGGATTAATTCAGCTGGACGTATCAGCGTTAATGAAATGATGAGATGTCAAGTCAAGTCACATTTATTCATATAGCGCTTTTTACAATACAGATTGTATCAAAGCAGCTTCACAGTGATAACATGAAAGTAATACAACACCGATCAATAATGTTGTTGAACATTAAATGTTCCCAACTAGCAAGCCAAGGCAACAGTGGCAACTGTGAGCTCCTGAGTCCTGACTTAATCTACTGTTGGCTACCAGGTGAATACGGTAAATGTTTTAATACTTTGTATATTATGTTGGTTTGTGTTTGTAGTGATGTTGTGTGTAAAATTATGGTTTGGTTTTCTTTTGTGTCTAGTTTTCACGGTGTCTCTAAAATGGACATCAGTAGCCTATCGGGAGCGTGGACTGTTAACCAGCGAGTAGTTACAAGTTTAGTTGACATAATAAAATGACTAAAACTTAAATAAAATAACTAAAGCTAGCATATATATATATATATATACTAATAATAATGATAAAAAGCACATTGCACGTTGTGTTCTGATGTATGTTAACCCGATTTTCATAAAAGTTTGAAATGCTGAAATAAAATATAAATATTAGATGATAAACCTAAGCAAAAAAAAAATAAAAATAATAATAATAATAAAAAAAACATGAGAATTAAAATGCTGCCTTGGGAATTCACTGCGAAATATAATATACTCTGTTTAGTTGCCATACTAAAATTACTAAAACTGAAATAAAACAACTAAAGCTATATATATATATATATATATATATATATATATACTATTAATAATAATGATAAAAAGCAAATAAAATAGCAAAATTACTAAAAACTAAAAATATAAAAATAGACATGAGACACGCGATAGACATCCTTTATTTTCCTATATTGTAAGGATCAGTCTTAAAGCTTTGTATCATAAATCATAAGGTGTCATATGTTTTCTACATGTTATAGCACATCTGACCTGTGATGTAATGGACTTTTGTTCATGCCCAACTGTGTCGTCAACAATGTTTTAATTTACAGCCTCACACACTCCTGTGTATCAACGGTGCACAAATACACTTTAAGCACCAGCACAACCTTTGACTGCTTTTAAACGATTTTACAGCGGTGGGCCTTTTGCCCTTCACCACAGAGGGGCCAGTACCGCTCACAAAGCACAGCGGTTTTACGCATGACTAAATTGGGTGCCAAACATGGCGTTATAGAGATTAATTTTAAATGATCAATCACAAACTGGGAATAGTTTTAAAACATTAAACTCTGCCATTTTGGCAGGGAAACCCAGTTTATGTAAATCTATGTTAAAAGTACACAGGGTACATATTAAACTTCCAGGCGCTAGAAAAACACCAGAGTTTAGATATAAATGACTTAGCCTATCTGTCCTGGTCAAACTGTGAGACTTGCAGAAAGCCGCCAGAATCCCTTTCCTATGTGCGAGTCAATAAGTTCATGATGAGGACATGATCCCAATAATGTAGTAGCCTTATTGATTGTCACTGTAAAGAACTGCTAAAGTCATTCTGTCATGTCCTGGATTGTATAATTTGGACATAAAATTCAAACTGGCATTCACCACAGTCTGCTTTAGTCTGGCACTGGCTGTGGCTAATCTTGCACAGTTACTGTGAGTAAGACAAGGCAGAGAGGCACAAATTTATCAGGACACATGTGGATTATATATTATTACGCCAAATTTATTAAACAGAGCTTTACCTCAGCAAAATATACAGTTCTGTCAGTGTCATGACAACTCTCTGAATGTTTGGCATGCTAATGGATATGACAGTGTATGTTTGGTCTTAGTGGAATATATCTGATGCTTCTGAAAGCACACTGCACCGCTACAGCAAATGCTGACCAAATATTTGAAGGTTGATCAGTGAGCTCATTGGCTACTGAAACAGCAGGAACCAATCAGCTGTGTCTTGGAGAATTATGTGACTGTAAGCAGATTGGGTTTAGGACATATCACAGTGCCATTTAGAGTTTAATGACAGAACTTTGTATTTTTTTATTACATTTATTTCCATGAACAAGAGTGATTTCTGATGTTGGTATGAGAATCCTACCATAATTTTGTGTCTTATAACTTGGAAATGCTCTTCACTGCACATTAACATATTTTATTTTTGTATTACAGTACATTTATTTTAGAGAATTCAGTAATTAATGCACTGCCAGAATTGAATTGTGTCTCAGCAAAATTATAGTGACTCAAAAAAAAAAAAAAAAAAAAGAATAAATGATAAACATGCAGCTATGGTGGATTATAAGCATTTTGGCACTTCTTCAGCAGGTTAATCTCTCTCTCTCTCTCTCTCTCTCTCTGTCCTGACTTTCTTTCGATGATTTAATCCTTTTAGTATGAGTGGTAACATTTTCCAGCCCAAGTAGCGTATGACCTAGTTTGAAAAGAGATGCACAAATAGCATGTGGAAAACAGTTTAAATCCTGCTTTACTTCAATTTGAATAACTATAATTTTATAAAAATGTTTAGGTCATTTTACCTCGTAAATTTAATGAAACTGGGTCTCATCTGATGAAAATTACTGAGTGATTATCACAATAATCCAACAACCAAAAAGAGAAATAGAGAAAATACGTATTAACAAACCTATTGTAAATCTGCAGCTGAAATGAACCACATTGCAAGGCAGTCGTAATTGCTTGGGCAACTTCCTTGGTTTTGCCTACAGGCATTAGGGTTTACAAAAGCAATTGGCCAAAACAAAAAAGAGAACACTGCGTGTGTAGCCATTAATGGGATTGTTTAACAAAGTTAGATGCCTCACATGTGTGGTTCTCCACTAAATTAAAGGGAAAGGATGTTTTTAATGTTTTAATTCCCTGTAAAGATTCATTCAGACCTTCATTATGGAAGACATTCATTACAGAACACTACATTTGCATTTACATGTCACTGATCTTTGATAAGCACATTACCTTGTATATATGCCACATATGTCTTATAATACCACAAATACACAATTAGGCCTAAGTGATAGCAAACAGACCTTTTCATTGTCAATCTATGACATTGGAAACTGCCTGCAGTAAACTTATGAAAAAAGTAGCTTTAATCCGCAGCCAATCAGCAACCTCAAATGTTTCATTAACTGTTTCTGAGTCCATTATTGCTTTAAAAAACGTAAATAAAATTTGTGTTGTGTTTGACCTTTTTCGGCTTAGTATAAAGTCGTCATTGGGGTATAGAAAGCAACTGTAAACCTTAGATATTTGATCATGGTTCCCATGTGGCAATATCGTGTGGTCATTGCGATGACATGTTGCTCATGTTCTCCAAACCCACAACATCTTCAATGTTTGTAAATATATTTGCCACAAGATATTGTTCCATTGCACGCCACTCTGCAAAAATCTCTTTTGTAGAAACAGTCTCTCTCTCACCCACTTCCTCTTTTAACATCTTTAGCAGATGTGTTTGTCCGGTCTCATTTTGCTCTCTCTCTCTGGCAACCCAGTACAAACTCATTATCTCTAAAGACCGTTCCTCTTACAAACCATGAATCGATTAATTCTGAACTTGCAAATGGCCAAAAGTTTTAGATTTTTACTGTTTCTCATTGATTTGTGATTTGAGCTCTATATATGTTGACTGAATGAGGGCAAGTTAAGAACCGTTATACTCTTAAAATGGATAGAAGATCTTCTCATATTTATCTGTTGTTTAAAAATAACCATTACACCCAACTCTGGAAAAACACTTAAGAGATCCCTTAGGCATGTGGATTATTAGGAGCCAAATAAAACATCAATGGGTTTTTTATTTAATGATAATAAACTATTGTACTTACAGATAGGAAACCTTGGCTTTCACTCGATTTGAATCCATCTAATGCCAAAGTGAGACGCACCTTTCTAACAATGCCAGAATACATGGATGGATGCCAGTCATTGAGGTGGCATACCATAATTTTGTTTATTTTTCAATGATGGGAAAGAATTCATTCTTTATCTTGTGCAAAAGATGAGAATAATAAATAAGATAATAAAAAAGGCACATAAAGTGCAATAAAATTTATTGCATGGTGTGTAGGAGGAAAGGACTTTCTAGGTATTTGTAATTTTGGTATTTGTAAAGTTATAGGCTTTTAAATGTGTCAGAATAAAGGGTTATTGCTAAAACACTTCATCCGAAATAGATTTAGAAAAGGAGGATAAGTTATTACCACCTATTATTATGTGGAAAGCCCACCACAGTGGCATGACCACAAGCACATACGTTTCAATCAGAAAGAATTCAACCGGTCTTGACAATGTTCTGGATATATAAAATTAATTAAGAAGGTGACTGTAATATTTCCCAGATTTGTATTTTTGACATTTATTGTTTTTTGTACTCCGTTAATACATTTTGCATTTTAATTTATTTTTACTTTTTTCCCCTAGAAATATAGCAGTGTGAGTCTTTAAAGAAGGTGTGATTTGAAAAGTGGTTCGCAGAAATCTGATTGTGATCAATATATAAAATATTATTCTTTACAATTATAATATAATGAATCACAGACTTGGTGTGTAATGAACAGAAGTCTGAGGCACCATATTATTTATCAAAGGGAGATGAAGATCACGTTACATTTTCTCCATAGCACCTTTATTCAAATCTGAACCTTCCTGAGCAAATAAAAATAGTTTTTTTTTTCAATCTGCCCTAATATGGGCAATACTTCCATGCCAACTTTTGTTTAAAAAGAGGGTAATACAAAAATGTAAGAGTACAAAACCTCAGCAAGTTATATAAACAACAGCAAACATCACTCCGATAAAATTGTTACATCATTCCAAATGTCATATTTTTGTTCTCAGACATAACTAATTCATTTGATCTTGTGCTTTGATATTTAACAAGCCAAAAAATGTTTCTTTGAAGTTACTGTAAGATAAATATTCCAAGTGAAGTTGATGGGAAATAATTACTAATACAGAACACATGAAAATAAAACACTGTTAATAAAACTCAAATACACATGCTGCAATTTCCTCATATACAGACTGATTTTTTTTTTAAAAAAAGTGCTTGATATCGAATACGTAGAAATATTAGTGTTACTCAAAGTACTATATTCCTTCCATCAGAAGCAGATGCTATAGGATTTAGGTTTGTTTGCCATGGTGAGCAGTAGTTCACCGCTGTGATTGGCTGGTAGATATAGGAAGAGAACACATGGTATGTGATTGCCTGTGGAAATGTCCTCTTGGAGTTCCCCCTGTTACCACTTTCCAGGGATTGGAACTCCACATTCATACCAGCCAACGAAAGGATGTGGTGTGCGCCTGCCAATGGCCCCGAAATTCACTGGCTCTTGTCTGTATGAGCGATAATATCCTGAAATCCACAAACGGCATCATGTTACAATGCTGATTGATCACCCCCTTAAGCGGCAGTGAGCAAACACAAAGATTTGAGGCATCAAGTGAAGCCAAACTACAGAGCATGCTCAAAGATGTCGTACCTTGAGCTGTGGGTAGGTTGAGGGAGAGATTGTGTGGTCCTGTCCTTCCATCTAGATAGGAGTCGACAAACTGGCAGTGGTCCTCTCCGTGGCCAAATGTATCAGCGACGCTGTAGAATGTTTCTAAAATGGAAAACATTTGTAGCTTGAGTATCCCTTTGGACCCAAACCTCAGACAGTGCGTTGAGTTTAGCTAAGGGAAACTGTGGTTTGGATTGGATACGTTAGGCTTTAAGGCCAGCACTTCAAAAAAAGACTGCTTCATATTGCCGACACACTAAGCAGTAGATCAAAGTTTAAATGTATTATGTTGTTAGAAAGGAAGGTCGGTACCTCTCAGTCCATCTCCCATGAAGATCTTGTAGCGCAGTGAGTTGCAGAGGACGACACCTACAAACTTTTTGTACCAGGTGCGCTTGACAAACTGACTTCCTTTACAGGTACTGTGGGCTGGGTTATACCTGAATGAGAATGGGACCCAGATAGGCTCCCCACCTAGAAAGGGAATTCATTTTAGGTCATTACATTTAAAAAATATCATGAAAAAAGGGAACAGCGGTTCTTATAAAAAGACCTGGGACACCAGCACATCAGCATAAACAAGCTAGTCTTTTTAGCACATGAAGAGAACATAAAACATACAGGAATATAATGCTTAATGATGTATCTCTTACCTGGGGGTCTCTCTATGAGCAGGGGATCATCTAGTTTAAAGAAAACACAAATTTAATTACTATTTTTCAAAACATTTTAAACCAACAACCTATATGTGGGTTCAGACAAGAGCAGTCTCACCTGACTCTGTGACGTATGTTAAAGTTTCACTGAGTGGCCCAGTCCAAAGATATTCTTTGCTTGAACTTTGAAGTAATACCTAAGAACAAGAATAAGAACATAAACATAAAAACCATGTTAAAAGCATGGTTTGCTGTCAAGAAGAGACCATTTTCATGAAAGCATCCTATGTGTACATCTAACACGCAACTTAATTTACAATGAGAGCCAAAGGATTGTATGATAAGTTATCGAGGAAACTATAAAAGGGAAAGACAATTAAAGGAAAGACAACAATTATAGGAAAAATAAAGGCCATGAAAGCAAAAGGGACTGGACGTTAAAAGAAAAGGAAAAGGAAAAATAGGAAGAAGGTAGACAAATAAAGGGAGGAGGAAAAGAAAGGAAATTGTGGGACAAATAAAGGAAATGAAATGGATGAGAAAAAAAGACTGAAAAGGAAATGAAAGCAAAATCGGGAAAATGAAAGGAAAAATTTATAGGAAAACTAAGAGGAAATGAAAGGAAAGAAAAGGGGTAGGATAAATAAAGGAAAAGAAAACTTTGAAGATTGGAAAAAGGAAAAAAGGAAAAAGTGAAGCCAAAAAATAAAATAAAACCAAAGGCATGTATAGAAATGAAAATAAAATTAAAATGTTGAAGAGTAAAAGAGGTTGGAAAATAAAAGGAAAAAGGAGGGGAAAAAAGGAAAAGGAAAAGCCACAGTTAGAATGTGCATTTATAAAATGCATGAGAGGAAATTATAAGAATGAGCTTCTGGCTAAAAAGAAAAGGCTGACAAGGAATAATGACAAGAAGATGCTGCATGTCAAAGAGGGTGCGCAAGAGAATAACACATCAACATGGAATTTGCAATCTGACAACCTCTTTGTGACAAATACCAGACCACAAGCACTTATTTTGACTCTGGCACATCCTTTACCTCTGAGGATAAATTAGACAAGCAAAAAAAAATTAAACCAGAGAACTTCGATGAAGTTCAAAGGGCTGAGCTAACAGCACTGTTCTGCCTGTGAGAAGCTCTTCAGTAAGCTCATGCTTCACTTAGTTTAACTCAGGACCCGTTTAATAACATAAAATCAGCACTGCTGGATCAAATTAGCACAGCCACGTGGAAACTCTGACCAAAATAAAGAGAAAATGGACAATTACAGTCAAACTGCCAGAGGGAGAGTGATGGGAGGGGGACCTGTCATATTTCAGTGAGGATGTGGATGTCCATGTGCAGTTTTCCTTGTCCTTTTGACCATTTATTTCTAAGAATGTGTGTGTGTGTGTGTGTGTGTGTGTGTGTACAGTATGTGTTTTATTTTTCCTTCATCTACTGACCATAATTCTTCATGGAATTGATGAAAGCTCCAGTCTCGATATGGCATCCAAGTGGTTTGTCATTGTTGCTTTGACTAAGAAGGAGCTGTTATTGTTCACATTGTGGGCTATTTACCTAGTTCTAAAAGCTATTGCAAATCCTTCATAAAACTTATCAACACTTCATGTGTGAATTATAAAGTTGTCAGTCATTGAGCTCGGCTGAGAGGCTATAATAACAGAGGTTTCTAAATGAATCCCAGGGGACAATAAAAACAACTTCATCCTTACATTCCACATTTGATCTATGAACCAAACATCTGTAATGAGTGCATTTGCATTCAAGTGTTTTCTCAAGGTAGTGGAGGAGAGAGTCTGCCTGCCTGGGAAAGTGTACAAAACAAATGTCAATCAAACCTGGGGTGTTGCACACAGCTGCCTGCATTTATGCATGTGTGAGTAACCATTGTGCAGGAGTAGATGAGATCTGTGGATGATTTTTGCTTATTCTGTGCTGATTTGAAGCTAAATCTGTGTTGGGAATACCAACTGAATAGGCAGAAAACATTTAATAAACAAACTTGCATAAGGGATGTGCAGAACTTTCTGAATGCGTTTCAATTTTGTGGAAATCTGTAGAACAGCTCATGGGTGTCGTAATGCACCACTGAAGGCATGCTGCTTGGTGAAGAAAGCATTTAGAAGGGTCTGGTAGACAGAAATTACTTCACATCCTTGGAAAATGTCCAGGCAGCCCATAAACACCTCCTTTATCTACTGCTCCTATAATTTGTGGGTAATAGCAATATAGCAAAATAGCAACTTCTTTAGTAAGTAAAAACACAACAACTCATTTATGCTTCTGTTTTTTGGAGGGTGAGGAGAATAATTATTTATAATTAAATCATTATTAGGACTCTCAGTCTAAAAGATCTGATTTCAAGAAAACTAAATAATACACCTTTTGTAATTATTAGATCAGGCAATTTTGTTGTGTGGATGAACAGTTCTCTGCAACAGCCCTCTACTAGTCATCTACTAAAGTACTCTTCAACAGTCCTACTAGTCCTCTACAAAAGGCCTCTACTAGTCCTCTACATTAAAAAAGTCCTCTGCTAGTCCTCTATAACAGTCCTCTACTAGTCCTCTACAACAGCCCTTTACTAGTCCTCTACAACAGTCTACAAACAGTCCTCTACTAGTCCTCTATAACAGTCCTCTACTTGTCCTGTACAACAGCCCTCTACTAGTCCTCTACTAGTCCTCTACAACAGTTCTCCACTAGTCCTTTACAAGTCCTCTACAACAGTTCTCTAATAGTCCTCTACAATAGTCCTCTACAACAGTCTTCTACTAGTCCTCTACACAGTCCTCTACAAGTCCTCTACTAGTCCTCTACAACAGTACTCTCAACAGTCCTCTACTAGTCCTCTATAACAGTCCTCTACTAGTCCTCTACAACAGTCCTCTACTATAACAGTCCTCTACTAGTCCTCTATAACAGTCCTCTACTAGTCCTCTATAACAGCCCTTTACTAGTCCTCTATAAAGTCCTCTAAAACAGTCCTCTACTAGTCCTCTATAACAGTCCTCTACTAGTCCTCTATAACAGTCCTCTACTAGTCCTCTACAACAGTCCTCTACTATAACAGTCCTCTACTTGTCCTCTACAGTCCTCTACTAGTCCTCTACAACAGTCCTCTACTAGTACTCTATAACAGTCCTCTACTAGTCCTCTATAACAGTCCTCTACTTGTCCTGTACAACAGTCCTACTACAACTAGTCCTCTACTAGTCCTCTACAACAGTCCTCTACAAACTAGTCCTCTACTTGTCCTCTGCTACTAGTCCTCTACAACAGTCCTCTACTAGTCCTCTACAACAGTCCTCTACTAGTCCTCTACAAGTCCTCTACAACAGTCCTTTACTAGTCCACTACAACAGTCCTCTACTAGTCCTCTGCAAGTCCTCTACAACAGTCCTCTACTAGTCCTCTACAACAGTCCTCTACTAGTCCTCTATAACAGTCCTCTACTTGTCCTCTACAAAATTCATCTACTAGTCCTCTACAACTGTCCTCCACTAGTCCTCAGTCTAGTCCTCTACAACTTTACACCTTTTAAAACGTTAGGGTCAGTAAGATTTTGTAATAATTTTGATAGAAGTCTTTTATGCTCACCAAGACTGCAGTTTTAGAAATATTGTGAAATATGAATTACAATTTCAAAAAACTCTTTTCTATTTTAGAATATTTTCATATATTCCTGTGAATTTTCAGCAGTCATTCAATATCCTCTTAATATGCTGATCTGGTGCTCAAGAAACATTTCTACATTATTATCAATGTTTAAAAGAGTTGTGCTGTTTTTTTGTGGAATGGCATGATTATGTCTTTACTGTCACTTTTGATCGATTTGATGCATCATTGCTAAATAAATATATTGCTATCTTTCAAAAAAATGCAAATGACTTTTGTCAAACTTCCATCTGGGTTTGATTGATCAGTTCCTATCTGCTCCAAAGACTGAAACAAATATGTGAAACTGAATGGATGCATTAACGAGTTATGACATAATACGACAGCCCTACTATTATATATTAGTCCCTTGCTCCCATGACTTAACCTGTCTTTTACTGAACATATTCAACTACATCTTAGATCAGTTATCATGTCAGAGATTGTTTAAGACTTAGAAAAAATTGTTTGGAAAAATGGACATCTCCAAAACTATTCCTAGGTGATGTTGCACAACAAGGGGAAAATAAATGACCCATTCATATAAATGTATGTCCAAATAAAGGAAGTGGAAATGATTTTGTAGATTTGTATACCAGCAAGCCTTCATCATATTGTTGGATTAAGCATGATTTAGGAAGGCTCCCAAAAGATCTTCATTGAGAATGTGTTCCAGTTGTCTTTTTGTGCAGACTGATCTCATGAAGTACGTGTGTATGACACGCCAATTCGTATTTCCATTTTTGGCGTGCTATCAAGACGCATAATCGCTTTTCAGCGTGTTTATGAACGCCGTTGACGTAACGTTATATAAATATATGACTTACCTCAACCCCGTCCCTAAACCTAACCGTCACTGGGGTTAAAGGCATTTATGACTGTTCCCTTACCATCCTAGGAAAGAAAAAGATATGACTTACCTCAACTCCATCCCTAAACTTAACCGTCACTGGGGTTAATGGCATTTATGACTGGAGATTTGACGTCGTGTACAGACACGAGGAATGACGCGGACGTTAATGGCGTAGACATGCACGCAAACACGCGGATACACGCGGATAGCTAAAAATGCGTAGAGATAACATGCCACTTGGCTCGAAAGTGGCGTGTATGTTTACGCAAAAGTCATGATGACATGTTGTTTTGTGAGACTTTACATGCAAACTGCTTTGTATTCAATTTCAATCATTGCAGATTATATAAATGAATGAACATATGAATGAATGTGCAGCAAACATGCAAAGCATGTAAAATAGTGAATGAATTGATGGGATATGTTTGCATCTGTGTGCAAGAGTCCTGTCATATGCTGGATCGCACCTGGAATTGGGCTTGAGGTTTTCAACAGGAAGGTGTGTTCCACTTGATGGTCTGGTTGACCATCTGTTGTTTAGGACATCGTCATAGGATGCACTGTGTACCATGTAGCCTATAAAAGAGAGAGTGAACTATTAAACCGAGCACTAAATGTGAGAAATTAAACAGATTCAAATAAATGAGGATACATTATGTCATGTCTGTGTAGGGATTCTTCAATATAATCCTAGTTCTTTATTACGTCATGGAAGGGCTAAACTCCTGCCAAGGCAGCAGGATGTATATAAAGCATATGTGCGTATTTTCCATCCTTTAAAATGAAAGAGAGAGGCAGTGCAGGAGTGAAGCTTTATGAAAGAAGGGAGGATAACTGAAAAAGTAAATATAAAGTAACATACATTTTTAATAAAGGAGATTTGTTTCATAAATTACCATTTAAAAGTTTAGGATCGGTAAGATTTTTAATGTCTTTGAAAGAAATCGCTTTTGAACATTTATTTGACAAAAAAAATCTAGTCTAAATTATTTTAAAATGTTATGTATTCCTTTGATAGCTAAGCTTAAACAATTACTCCAGTCTTCAATGTCACATGATCCTTGAGAAATCATTCTAATATGCTGATTGAAGAATCTTACTGTCCCAAATTTCAGGTGGTATATATATATATGCGTATTCAAACACATTTAATTTTCAATTTAAAATGATGAATAAATATGCTGAATTTGTTCATGTATTAATAGTAAATATAAATGCTTTTAGGTCTAGTTAAAACTATGTAAATCAACATAAAAAACTGTTCAGTAACATGAGATTGCCTTGTAAAGTTTTATTCAAGAGCATGTGGACTTTATTTTTCATGTGTTGAAAAAATTGCACCATTCATCAAAGCAACTTTATCTGTTGACTGTTGACAGGGAATCCCCTGAATTTAAAACTCCTTACACATCACATCTTGACACTAACAGTGGCTGTGGGAACTGCCTCTTTTTATGTGTGAATCAAGATGAATCTGTCAAGGTCAATAATGTTGGAGCAGTGTTGTTATATATTGCTTTGTGTTTGGAAATACAAATTAAATGAAAACCAGACAGAATGTAAGACAATTCCATATACTACACTTTTACAGATTTCATACTTCAGTATGTTGTATTTAAGATCACAATCTTGCATAATTTTTACAAAGCACACACAATCCATTTCAATCAATTACTGAACAAGTCAAAATAGTGCATCATAATAATAATAATGAAGCCCTCCCAACACAGCTTCTTTCATGGAAAGTATCAATTTAAAAATGCCAGCGCTGTTTGCCTGCCACAATTAAAGGGATAATTCACCCCAAAATGAACATTCCATAATCATTTACTCATTCTCATATTGTACCAAAGCTGTATAAATGTTTTTTTTCTGTTGAACACAAAATAACACATTTTGAAGAATGTTGCAAAACAGTCTTGGTGGCCACTAACTTCGAAAGAATGGACAGGGTGGGAACATTCACGACAACACCGGAGTTTCTAAAATTCTGCACCCTGGCAAAAGTTTCAGTTTCGGTTTCAGTGACCGGATACTGCATTTAGACCAACAGCCAAACCGCATAGAAAAAGTGGCGGTTTTGATAATACCTGTGTTCGTGTGGACAGGGCCTTATCCTAAAAATCAAGCCTTCTCAAATTTAACAGTTAATTACTCATTTGTGATTTAAATTCAATCCCGATCCCGAAAGAAAGCTTGTAATTTTATTTGAGCAATTGTGGTCAATTTTCAGGATTTTTAAATGAACTGTTATAGACTGTCACTCACCAGATACCATGTCATCTTTCAGTGGAAGTGCCCAGTCCAAAATCACAAAGGAGTGACAGCCCTCCATAGCAACCACGGTGACATTATGGGGCTTGTTTTTGGGTGGCTGCTTTTGATTAAATGATTGTTGGTCCTTCTCCATCAAGTCTGCTAAGACATCCACTTGCAGATACTCCAGAGCCTCAGTGAGGGAGCAGGGAGCTCCAGGGTCCTTACGTATGTAGTTTACATAGGGAGCTGAGAGCAGGAGGTGAGTGAGGAGAAAAAGAGAAAAGCAAAAGATGTGAATTGAAGAAATAAAGAAAGGCAAATACATTTTCACTAAGCATTTGACAATTTAAGTGATAATCTGAATCCCTGTCATAATATCTTATAGTATTTGGTTGCTTTAATGGCAACAGCACAAGTTTGTGTAAAACCTGAGGATCATGTTTTCCGGCATGATAGGAGATTATCTTGAGCTTGACTGGAAACCATCTGAACGTATAAAGAGTCAATTCATTTAATTGAAACATTTGTATTCTTTATTTTGCATCATAACGTTTCTTTGCTTTGAACTTTTCCCAGGTTTACACAAAACAAATCCCAGATTTTCAATTTATTGTGTATACGCTACCGTTCAAATGGTGGGGGTTATTAAATAAAATAAAAAAATAAAAATTTAAAGACATCTTTTATGCTTACTAAGTAAAAATGGTAATACCGTCAAATTTTGTTTTCTATTTTAATATAGTTTAAAGTTAAATATATATATTTTTTATAGTATAGCTGATTTTTTTAGCAGCCATTACTCATGTTTTTATTCTCATATGTCCCTTTAGAAATCATTCTTTCATAAATCATTTCTTATTTTTAATGTTGAAAAATTTCAATTTATTTGAAATAGAAGCCTTTTGTAATATTTTAAATGTCTTTACTGTCACTTTTGATCAATTTAATGCATCCATTCTGAGAAAAAACAAAATTGACTATAAACTTTTGAATGGTAGAGTACATAAATTGCCTTTGGCTTTCAATCTGTATGTTTTATTAGGTACATCTAGTAATACAAAAAGGATTGCAAAACATCCATGGACGTTCGTGCAAACTGACAACAAATAACTTGAAAGTACCGTTCAGTAAACATTACATTTCTGTTGAGTTGTTTGCATTAGCTTGTTGTCCTAGTTTAAGAATGTACCCAATATAAGCTTGATCGTGGTTGCAGACAATAAAAGCTTCAATTGTTGATATTTTGCTGTAGACTTTTCCTGTTGGCTCAATGAAATTTTGTTATTTCTGTCGTTGAACCCAGTGCCAGCTGGATCCACAGCTGTGAACACTTCCAGAAACCCCTGTCTGATTTGGCCACAAGATTCACACCTGGACCTAATCAAAAGCCCCATGTGATGTTGAACCCTGATACAGAACAAAAAACACACTTCTGTGCATGTGCCTCCGCAGTGACCAAATGGGACTCACACACACAAACAAGCTGCATTGAGTGCACTCGTTACGGGTGATAAAACCAAAACCACAATACAGTGTGTGAAGAGGAAACCGATGGGGAGAAAAACTGAACAATGCATGCTAAGAAGAGTCGAGACATATCTTCTAATATTATTATACAGCACAAGGCTACATTTTTAGTTTTTTATACGCACAGAAACTGCTACAACCTGTAATCACACCTACGGAATCAAGGTGTGAGCAAACGCAACAGAAGCAGTGTGAAATACATTGGATTTTTTGGAGTATCTGGAGAGCAGAGAACACCCTAGGATATAAAACCCATAAATATTAAAAGACACGTCTGAGGTTTGGGCCAGAAGGAAGCCTCTCTCAGCTGATATCAGCACATTTAGCTCATGTCGTATTATTTAGGGCTTCTATCTTGACATGTTTCACTGTTTAAATGGCTTGCATATGTGTAAGTGTGAGCCCAAAATCTAGAGTGTCAGGATTTATTTCTCCACGCATTGAGGATAAGACATTTTACCAAAGAGTTGTGTTCTCTGTGTTGGTATTTATAGGTATGAAGCTTTTTTGGTCAAACCGGACCAGGGAATGTTGATGTTGAAGTGCTTCTGCTCAATCTATATACTGGCTCTATCATTAATGTATGACAGCATCCCCAACTCAGTTTTACTCTTGTACCCAATAGTAATACTCGCATTATGAGGCCAAATCCTGTAGCCACAGCCTGTAACATGCAGTATTTCTCTACAGGCACAGCTTGGTTCCTGGGTTCTTTTAATAATCATACGTTTGAATTTGAAGAGCTCAGCAGTGCTTCTGGCTCCAGTGGTCTAAATGGTGCTGACATCTCTGTTTCATTTCAAAGTTCTGCTAGGCAAAGTCATTCTAATACAGTAATATAAATGCATTACAATCACCAACCTAGGGACCATAGAGGGCCTCCCTCATAAAACAATGAAGAGTTGGCTAATAATGTTTTTCTCATTCTTCTGCTGTTTTCCTATGTATCTAGCCAGAGAAGTTGATGTCACATTTCTGCCAAGACAAGCACATCAGAGGAGCCGTGAAACAGCAGGAGTTCCTGGATTGCTGGCTAATTACCAAAAACAGAACGGAGGTAGTGTGACCCCTGTCTTTTCATAATACAGTCATTACAAAAAATGCACCTTAATCAGTGACACCTGACACATGTCCATTGTTAACCATAGATTTTAAACAGTCAATCAAAAAGACATTTCAAATGAATAACATTATATAACATAATATGAATTTTTCAAAATAATAATTTAATCCCATTTAAATATTTAATTGCAAACATTGGACAATCGAAAACATGGCTATAGAAGCCAATAAAATATATTTTTTATTTAATTTTTTTGTTATATATGAGCTTAGTACGGAGGCGTATTGCATTTACTTGAAGAAAAAAAATCTACTCTGTTTTTCTGAATTAACAAGTTAATTATATCAGAATTACGAGATAATTTTTCATGGAAAAAAGTTTTTGCTCTGTTTTTCTGAATTAACGAGTTAATTTTTCATGAGAAAAAAAGTTTTTGCTCTGTTTTTCTGAATTAACGAGTTAATTTTTCATGAGAGAAAAAAAGTTTTGCTCTGTTTTCCTGAATTAACGAGTTCATTTTTCATGAGAAAAAAGTTTTTGCTCAGTTTTTCTGAATTAACGAGTTAATTTTTCATAGAATTTTTTTTGCTCTGTTTTTCTGAATTAACGAGTTAATTTTTCATGAGAAAAAAAAGTTTTTGCTCTGTTTTTCTGAATTAACGAGTTAGTTTTTCATGAGAAAAAAAGTTTTTGCTCTGTTTTTCTGAATTAACGAGTTAATTTTTCATGGATTTTTTTTTTGCTCTATTTTTCTGAATTAACGAGTTAATTTTTCATGAGAAAAAAAGTTTTTGCTCTGTTTTTCTGAATTAACGAGTTAATTTTTCATGGAAATTTTTTTATTTATTTTTTTGCTGTTTTTCTAAATTCAGAAAAACAGAGCAAAAACTTTTTTCCATGAAAAATTATCTCGTAATTCTGAGATAATTAACTTGTTAATTCAGAAAAACAGAGTAGATTTTTTTTTTTCAAGTGAATGCAATACGCCTCCGTACGCCTCCGTAGGCTTAGATGCTTACAATAGCAAAGTGAATTTCCCTTCTGCAAGTGCAATACTGTAAAGTCAGTGAGGGCAGAACTAAATTTGCCTGATCACTAGCCAAAGCTCCAGCTCAGCATAACCATTTCTGAAACTCATCTGGCAACTGGCACAGTCTCTGCATGCAAACTGGACCTGATACAATGTTCCAGAGCTAGTTGTATAGCTTGTGGAGATTTAAGTTCGGAAAGATGGAGTCTGTTGAACCTGATGTTGAAAGGCTATTACTGTCAGTCTTGGTAAAAACTTGACAAAGCTTGACTAGAGTAAGGTAAGGTTGAAATAGGATTGCATAATTTTTGCACTAATCCATTGCTGAGTGGAAAACAATTGCATTAATTTATACAATTGCGATGTTTAAACAAATATGAATTATTGTTTGAAACAATATCCTAATAGCCTGTATCCTACAATATAACCTTTATCCTCATAACACACTTTGAGTATTTGGGAAGGAAGCCCAAACCCACAGACATTCATCCATAATTTATAGAGTGGAGTCTAAATACTTTCACTCAGGCATTCTCAAATATTTCCTACAGAAGCTCCCCACATGAAACATCCTGAGAGCCTGTAAAGTCAATGGCCTCTAAAATGGCCTCTACCAACACATGATATGTGGTATTTGTTGCGGGTGTGAGGGTTGACAAGGTTAGTTGCACTGTAGCCACAGCGGGGAGACCCCTAAAAGTAGAAGGTAAACTTAGAGTAACATGATCCAAATGGGGAGGGTGAAGGTAAAGAGATATCTTTTGTTTTTCCCTTTTTACAATACTCTACCATTCAAAAGTGTGAGGTCAATAAAGACATTTTTCAGCAAGAATGCATTAAACTGATCAAAAATGACATTTTGACATTACAAAAGTTTCCTATTTCAAATAGATTCTGTACTTTTGAACTTTAAATTCTTAACTCAAAAAATGCATCAAGGTTTCCCCAAAAATATCAAGCATACTGATTTCAAACATTGATAATAATAAATGTTCGTAAATAATAGACCTTCTGTCGACGTCACATCTCCTGTTCCCTCCTTAAGGGAACGAGGGTTACATTAGTAACCGAGACGTTTTTTGTGCACCAAATCGGCATTTTAGAACGATTTCTGAAGGATCATGTGAGACTGAAGACTGGAGTTATGATGCTGAAAATTCAGCTTAACAATCACAGGAATAAATTACACTTTAAAATAATAAAATAGAAAACGTCTTGGTTACGTATGTAACCCTCATTCCCTGAGTACAGGGAATGGAGACGTGTCGTCCAAATTCGTCAGGGAACTCCCTGATGACACGTTGGAGTTTCCAGCATGAAAGGGAACAGTTATAAATTGTAATAATATTTTACAATATTACGGTTAACTGTATTTTTGATCAAATAAATGCAGCTTTGGTGAGCATTTTCAAAAACTGTAAAAAATATCTTACAGTAACAGACCCCAAACTTTTAAATGACTAGTGTACACATTTACTAGTAACTTCTTGATATGGCACAATTTTCACAACTGTCCCGGAGGTCAAATCACATAAACGTTTGCTTATTTTGTATGATAGACCCTTTACTCTTGGCATTAACATTTGTGTCATATCTTGATATTTTTTAGCTGGATTGCATTCACACCTTAATCTCAATGTATTTTCAGTGTGGCTGGATTGCATGATTCAAAATTGGATGGGTAAAAAATTCTTTGCAAACCCGTTAGTAAAGGATGGTAATGGGTCTAGAAGCGAAGAAATGAGGTGAAAAGTTTAAAAGCGCTCTCTATTGTGAGAGAAGTTTGATTCCAAGTGTAATAGAGTGAAATAATTTGAATCGAGTGAGATAATCACAAGAGCGTGTGATTGTTGTCTTTTTCACACTGCGAGAGCAGAATAATGAAAAGAACTTGCAACACAGGACTTTAACGACTCAGTCTGTCAAAGTGACATGTTTATTTACAGCATAAACTCATTTATTACTAGTGTAGCTGAATGCCGATAATGAAAACATGTCTGAATTTACATCTTCATTAAATGTGGTGAAAATCTATCCCAGACACCTCAGGATGTAGTTTCGGTGATGCAATCACAATCCGATCAAACTGTGTTTTGTGTGTATTTATGTATATTTGGCATGGGAGTCAACTAAAAATGCTAGGTGTAAAAGCATACAAACACAAATTGATTAGGCTTAGGGAACCAACAATTTTAGCAATGATAAAAGTTGGGCAGCTGAAGAGTCAGTGCACAACAGTAGAATATATAGTGCAATGATAATCATAGAACCTTTGCATTCATTTTGGTTATGAATTTATTCAAGTGCTTACAGAAGAGCTGTGTCTCTTTTTTGATTTTTTTTTTTTTTTTTTTAGGAACTCAGCTGATTGAGTGAAGTTTGGAAAAGCATTCCACTACCGAGGGACAAGAACTATTTGCATATAAATCCTACCTAAGGTCAGCTGTATGCACTATTTTATTTGCTGCTTACAATATCACCAAGGGAATAGGCTGCATTTGTAGGCCAGATAAGTTTCCTTCACATTCACCATTCAACTCTCCAGTGCCTCACATCTACAGGAAATGCTGTGGTGATTGGAAATAAATTAACTGTGAGTGGCCAGTTGTGTTTCCAGAGTGGTTCAATCTCAACATGCTATTGCTGAGTTTGGAACCAATAAGAAAATGGATCATAGCATTTTATACTAGAGTACTAACTGCTGTAGTATGTAGTAAAGCAAATATATTACCTGTGAACCGTTTCTTTCCAGCCACATCAAATTCAGAGGAAGGGGTGTTGTTAAAAGGCCGTGTCTCAAGAGTGGGAGCCAGTGTTGTAGGAGTCTGTGTTGTGGGAGCCAGTGTTGTGGTGGGAAGTGGGACTGGGATTGTGGTGGTCTCCACAAAAAGTTCATCTGTAAGATGAAGAGTTGCAATCAAAAACAGAAAGAGTAAAAGTCCACAGGATCCAACCTCACAATGGCCCAAAAGTATTTGGATGGCTCAATATTTTATTTAATACATAGGCATCCAAATACTTTTGGGGCATTGTGAGGTTGGATTCTGTAGTAATGCCCTTTTAAGTGTCAAAAAAATGTCCTTTTTCTTTTGTAGTTAGCACAACACTTTATTAAATGTTGTTTTAAAAGTTAAGTTAATGTTATCGCTCTCACTATTCTTTATGGTTAATATACTCTAGCCCAGGGATTCCTGTCACAATGAGGAGATTACTTTTTGTAAACAAGCTTGTCCCTGAAGGCAACTTGGAAACAATGGCTGTCTTGTGTTTAAACCAGCCGAATTACATAACAAATGATTATATAAGTTTTTAATCAAGAAAGGTCATCCAAGTTTGAGCATATTCAATCACACAGATTTTCACTTTGCAACTTATAAAGCCACTTAGTATGGAAAATGTAGAAAAAAATACAGCTGTAAGCAGCCATTAACGAGGTTCAAGACCTTTAAGGCCTTAAAGCGCAAGACATATTACACAACAAGCCTGTAAACACCTAAATCATTGGCGAAAAATACCATTTTCTGCAATTTCAGGTCATTTACAATATTGTTTTTGAAACCTTTATAACTGTTATAGCAACACCTATAGCCCATTCTGCATAAACGTTTGCATGCTTGTTTAGAATCATATTTTGCATATGCTTACATAATTTTGTGAAGTTCTGAGTTTTCGTTTAGAAACTATAGGCTTTTGTGTACAATTGGCCAAGCCCATCTCTGAATGACCCTGTTATAGCTATCCAAAGGGAAAAGCTAAGGTAAAACATTTGTGTGATTTGATTGATAGCAGTGGTCCTACAGGCAAAGTTGTTTAGAACGAGGTATGAATATCGTGTGCATGTGTGAAAAATCACATAATATACATATATATCATTTACGCGCTTGAAAAACACAATGGCGTTACGGCACCCCCAGTGCCCGAATTCTTTCATATTTCTCACAGTCCTCTAGGGCCATATGTCAAACAGGTCCAGGGAGTTTTGTTCTGTTTCTGAACCCTGTTCCTAAAGGCACACCAACAGTGCACATTTTGGATGACTCCAGACCTGTTATCTCTGGTCTAATGAGCAAGTCTGGGAAGTCTCTACTAATGAGCTTGTAGGAGCCATATAGGGCTATTGATAATGTTACTTAATGTCATGGTTGTATGTAACTACTGTCTGCACTCCCCCCTGTGGTAAGGGGAAGGAATTTAACCCCTTTTTGGGGACTTCCTGAAGGTAGCCATAAGAAAGAAATAATTTAAAGGGTAACTAAACCCCTGGTCAGAGCCTGACTCCACCCATTGGCAATATTTGAAAATGCTGGAAAAAGTGAGCTGACCCCAGCGGAGATAGAGGGGACGAAAAAGATGCTAAAACACTCTATCCTGATCGTTTTCAATACTCGCAATTCCAACTGCTGACTCCCTACAGTGGTTTTGACGACACAAGATGGTTTTTATACTGCCAAGGGCGTAGTTCGTGTGGTGAGCTGAAACCTGCGTACGTCACGAAGTGCGGAACATCCAATAGGAAAATTTAACTGCAGTAGCCACCGTTCAACCTGAAGAAGGCAGCACTAAGACGTTTTTACACCATATATTGTAGAAATAGAACACTTTATAAACAAATGTCAAAAAAGTTACTCGAATCAATGACTGGTGTTAATAAAGATCCATTCTTACAGATCATTAACTAAAAAAAGTTGGTTTAGTGTTTAGTTACTCTAAGTTTTTTTTTGTTTTTTTTCCTCCATCAAGTGTATTCTATCAAGTAGCGCTCCATACTCCAATCCAGTAGGTGGCGGACAATGCACCTTAAGTTGGTTTGCCAACCACCATTTAAACAACAGAAGAAGAAGAGGAAGGTAGCCATCTTAAACAGGAAGTGATGTGGCAAGGGCAGAGAGACAGTTTTTTGACCTACATTACACAACACTGTTTGTTTTGGAGCACTGAGTTTTGTCTTCAAGTTTTCACCTTTTTGTTACAATAAAGCTCAAGTCTTGTTAAAACAGATGTAGCATCAAATATACTTTCCCTCACGGAAGTGGCTTAAGAAGGAAAGAAGCCACTACATTAAGTAAAAAAAAAAAAAACACCCAAGAAGGACATGCAGGCATGCGGTAGGCCCAATCAAGGCCTACTTCTAGAATGATCAAGCCATGAGTGACGCGTATCGACAGCTTTGAAAGGATTCTGAAATTCATCCAATGCGTGAGTAAACAAGGGTGAACTTATTTCTAAAAGCTGTGGTTGAGATTTTTTTTGCTTTGATCAAAGCATGGTACAAGAAGCTGATGCTTATCTGTACATTGTGGCCTGCTGATTCTATGGAAAGCTGGATACTTGATTGTGCTTGTTTGTGTCAAACATGGCTGTTGAAATGTACAAAAATGAAAAGGATTGAGTTGAACAAAGCATTGGATCACTCAGTTCTATGCGTAGGGGAAAGCTTGGTGTGTGCACACGTAGGATGAATGAAGTAAAGGCATTGCTTGCTGAGGGTTGTGATGTGGAATCAATAAAAAGAAGTGCAGGGATATTTTTTGAGCTATTTCAGAGATGAGTTCAATCAGGTGTGTTTGATTAGGAAGAAAGAGAGATTTGTAGTGTTAGTGTGCTTCCAGGAATAGGGTTGGGAAACACAAATATGAAGCAGGGTTCTAAGCTAAGGTTTAACTTTTTCCCAAGGAGCACGTGTGCTCCTAAATGAAAAAATGTAGAAATTTTGGAGTGCAGTGAAAATTTTTCAAGTAATAGAGATGCCAGAGATGCGCTAAACTGATGCCAATGTTGCTATGTCAGACTGATTAGGAACTTCAAACAAACACACCAAGTGTGTACACTTCTAGGAGTAGATCAATCAACCTTTGAAATGACACTTTCCTGCAAACGAATTTCTCCAAAAACTCTGATCACAAACAGATTCAAAGCATAGCAGAAGTTATTCAGACATAAGAGGATATCCTGTGAGGTTTACTGTGTACATCCTTCCTAACTCACATTATCTTCGGAATACTGATTCTAAATTACAGTGGATCAGGTCTTGTGGGTACTAACGACATGCCTGTGACAAGACTCATTATATAAGAGCCAACTTTAGTCACAAACTGGGCCAAAAAATGTACAGTATATTTTGCATCACTTTTGCATTGACACACATTACACCATTATGGGAAGGACATTATGTGTTTTGTGTGGCTGCAAAGAGTTCATCTCACCTTCAGAGTAGCAGTTAAGTATTCCATCAGCATCCATTATTGGGAAACCATTCTTATCCAGTCGGGAATAAAGTCCAGGTGGACATGTAGGCTCAGCAGCTAATGTTGATGGCTCCAATGTTTCTGTTACCATTTGTGTTGTTGTAGGTTCTGTTGTTGTTGTTGTTGTTGTTGTAGTTGTAGTAGTTGAGGTTGTAGTGGTTGTAGTCCTGGGTTTAGGGCGGTCCAAGCCCACAATGGGTTTTCCTCCAACAGTAAGATACTTGTCACTTGGATTAATCACAGGTCGACTGTCCCTTCCATTACCAAATAATGCTAATCCTTCCTGGTTTACAAGTGGGGTGCCCTGGTCATCTAATATTGCAAAAAGAGATAAAAGTCAGTTTAAAACATGCTGCTCATTTTTATAGTTTTCTATAGTATGAAATTAACATGGTAATCCACTTACCAAAGATAGTCTTTCCATCCTCTCCAAGAATAACTTTTCTGGGTCTTCCCCTTGAATCTTGAAGGACTCTTCCATTTTCATTCATCAGGACACCCTTATCCAGATCTACGATCTAAAAGAGTGAATGAAACTTTATAAAGGAGAAAAATCTTTTCTTTAACAAAAAATGAGGCAACAGTCAAACAGTCCTGCTTGAATAAGTGTCCCTAGGGTTCCCTGTCTGTGGAGTTTCCATGCTTAGAGAGACATGTCTATTCACATGACTGTCTTTGCTTACGTTAAAGATAATTTTGTTTGGACTGCAGTACCCTCTGATTGATTATTGTCTCCATACAACAGACGTAACAGAAGTCATGGAAATGGGTAGTTACATTCTAGGGTCATTTTCAGGGCCACAATCGTGCCATGGCTCACTTTATGCTAAATCTTACATGGTTTATAAACTGGAAAATGAAAAGAAGTGCATAACATAAAATCCATAAAAATGTGTAATAAATGATGTTAATTTATTTACTACTGGCAAATTTAAGTTATTCAGGGCTGCCAAATTTAGCAATAATTAACGCTGCAAGTAAACACACCCATTTCGTTCCATCAGGACCTGTGATATGTCGGACTCCATTTGGTTTTACATTTTCATCAGATGTTGAGGATACTCTGCCATTTGCAGCTGTCAGATTCGGCCGTCCATTTTTGCCTAAACATGGATATGTGTAGAAATGAGATAAAGTGTACTTATGCACACACTGGAATTGTTGTACGTACAGCATGTGCATCCTTGCAGACAACATAATGTTTACCTTTTCCATAACTTGGTTTGTAGCCATTGGCTGGAGTGCTTTCCTTAGAAACTGACCGCAGCCTCGATCCCATCACTGGATTCCGAGACTCAGGAGATATATTCCCACTAGAGCTTTCACCAGCAGACAGTCCATGAGAAGAGCGAGAAACTGAACCTGGAGTGAGCCTAACATTAGTATTACTCCCGACAGTGTCACGATCTGAGATAAGTGGTGACTCTGCTGGACCATTTTGAGAGGAGGCAGGCGATGATGTATCCAGTGTGGAAGCAGAGCCAAATCTTCTGTGCTGTACTGGGTACAACCTACTAGGAAGCCGTGACCCTTTCAGACGACTTGCTACCACAGGTGAGCGGACCCGACCATTAGAAGCCAAAATAGGAACTCTTTGGGGAACTGTAGGAAGTGACTTCGAACTGGTATTGGTACTACTTTGTTGCCTATCCACACTTTCTCTCTCAAAGTTCTGGACATGTCTCTGATGGTCACCCACAACTGTTGTCGTTTTAGATGCTACAGTTGAGACAGGCTCTTTGGTTTGACTCTCCAAGGTCTCTTTGCTTCCCTCGTAAAGATAATCATCTTCATGATCATTGCTACTTTTTACAGCTTCATTACTACTGGGATTGTTGGAACTTGTTGCAATATTTGTTTCTCTATTTAGCACACTCGGTTTATTCGAGACAGGATTCATCTCATGCTTTGAAGGGAATGTTGTGGGTGAAACTTTGGTTTTATCACTAAGGTCCTGAGAGCTCACAGCAGTAGAACGAGAAGGAAATCCTTTAACAATCGGCCTTCCTGCACCTACAGATGAGGCAGTCCTACTCCAAGGTATTCTGCCATCTTGTCTGCGACTCCCTATAACTTTCCTAGAATTTCGGTTTGGTAATGAAAAGGGTGAACTTCGTCCTGTTGTAGAAGGGTTAGTCCTTGAAGGAGAATGGGAAGTAGAACCATAACTATCACTTTTTTCTTCTTTATCATAATATTCCTTTTGTTCCGGGTGTTCCTCTTTAGTTGAATCAGAAAGGCTTTTTTTGGTTTCTTCAGTGGTAGTTGGTTGTTCATCCTTTCTTGTGTCTAGCTCCGTGTTTTTTTGGTTGGTATCAAGCTCCTTTGTTGTATCGTGATTGTTTGTCCTGATTCCTGTTTGCAGTGTGGATTGTGAAGAAGCAGATGATGATGAATCAGGTTTGTGCTTTTCTGTTTGTAGTCTCTGAGCTCTAGTTGAAATTCCAACTCTTCTTCCATTAGGATACATAGCACCAGATCCTGAACTTGTGACTCGACCTGACGTGGAGGAAATCCTTCTTGTACCTGAAGATGATGATGATGGTAAGGATGATGATGGAGAAGCTACTGAAGAAGATGAAGTGGAAGAAGAGGATGATGCTGTGGAGGAAGTTGGAGAAGAAGAGATGGGTAAGGATGATTCTGATTCTTTCGCTGGTTCAGGTCTGGTTTCCTGAGGTGAGATCACAGGTGTCCTATCAGTGACACTTATCTGGTTGTACGAGTTCTTTCCTTCAGGATAGGAGACTGCTGTCAGGTCCTTTCTTGTAGCTGCAGACTCTTGGTTTTGCGACGAGCTCGAAGAATCTTCACTCCGCATCCTTGATCGAGAACCATGTGTGCGAGAATAAGGCCTTCTTAATCTGCTTATATCAACAATTGATGATGTGCGAGGGGTCCAAGAAGGACGTTTGTCTTCAGACGTTTTATGAACAGAGTCTGATTTATTGGGTTTTGATTCTTTAGTGTCGGATGAGTATTTTGAATGTTCCTCTGTTTGTGGTGACGCATTGTTACTGCTCTCTGGTTTTGTGTCCCCAGCCTCATTTGCTTTGATCTCCTCATTTGTTGGACTCTCTGTTGGCTTCTCTTCCTCATCTATATTTCCTTCTCTATCTTTGGTATTAGTTGAAGATAAATGTGAGTTTGACCTTGAGCTAGAACCTCCGCTTCTGACAGAGCCCCTTACAGAGGATAAGATGCTGTGATAGGACCTTGTCTGAGAAAGAGGGCGTCCCCGCCTATTGGTGGTTGGAGTTGTGGTTTGAGTATCAGACTCTTCCATCTCATCTGGCTCCTGATTGTCTGATTCATTGTTGGATGATGTCTTGGAGGTACTTTGACTCGTCCTGTGGCTATCCGTGTTCCTTAAGTGAGTAGTGCTGGCTGGAGACAAAATTGAGATACCAGTCTTAAGCAAGTTTCTGTAAAGCTGCTAGTGTAGTCATGTTTATTGGGGAAAACATCTGTTGGGAATACTTACATGCAGGCATTGAAATAATAATGGCTTTAGTCTGTGGTCCTTGTCCCTTCCTATTGACTCCACGGATTTTGAAGATATAGCGGTCACCTGGCGTAAGTCCATCTATGGTAGCAGAGGTGGTGGTTCCACGGTATGTAACTGACTTTGCGCCAAACGGTTTCATAGCAGGAGCATAGGAAAGGATGTACTCTGGAAGTAGATGTCAAATCAATCAGTATGGTCAATTTAATTTGGATACCATAGCTGAATATTTTCCAATGTACACTGGGAATACCCAAGATTGAATCAATAAATCTAGGCCAAGGATAACACAGTAAAGAGGAAAGTTCCTTCAGCATGAACAGAGAACATTTGTGTTTTCCACATGTACATTTGTATTGGTTTAGCTTTTGAGACTGGTGCTCTGCACGCCTGCTGGAGAAATTCTGATGCTGAAGAAGCTTATCATTCCCATATATTTTGGCAATGCCCAAAGTGGTTTCAGGGAAAACATATGGTCAACTATTAGTAATGCTTGGCTCTCAAAATGCCAAAGTCATTTTCTGTTCTTTATGTAGGATGTATTCCAAAACTAATAGAAAGAGCTGTCAGATATCTCTATAAAATATTATCAATGTTAAAATACTTATATGCAGATACAACTGTATGAACTAAGTAATGCCTGGTGCACTACACAATAAACAAATAAAAAATATATGGTTCTTATGGTCTATTTGGAACTTGTTGAATTGATAGCCTACCCTGTGGTCTTACCTCTTATTCGTCCATTGGTTTGCTCAGGTGGATCCCAGGTTGCTGTGACAGCAGTACCTTTTCCTCTAAGTGGTTTTACTTCAAAATTTTCTGGAGGGCCAGAGGGAGCTGTATAGACAAAGGTAGCAGAAAATAAAAACGGAAATGACAAACAAATTAATATACAAACATAGAGCACTGTGCATTCTCTTTAACTTAACTTTTTTTTTCTGCCTGGATACTTTTCAGATGGAAACAAAAGACAGCTTTATGTTTTCCAGAGGAATGAGGTCATTCTGATCAATCCAAACACACAGTAAACAGTGACATTACAATGAACTAGGCAGTTAGATCATGCTTACATGGTTTAAAAAACTACAGCAAGATTGTCTTGGGCTTTGTGTGTGGATTTGTATGGGGGTACAATGCAATACAAACAATGTAGTCATTTTTGTATAGAATACTTTAATTTCCAGAACAATTTTAAGATTTTTTTTCAATCTGACACTGACCTTTTTAGTTTGCAGATAATTATATCAATAATAAAAAAACAGAATTTAGCTGCTCAACAATGCAAACTAAGTCAAGTCACATTTATTTATATAGCACTTTTTACAATACAGACTGTTCAAAGCAGCTTTACGGAGATAACAGGAAAATAATGCAAAAAAAAAAAGTTTGTTTCCAGAAGAAAATAGAGACACAGTCCAGCTTAAGTAGGTTCAATGTTGTTTCATTTTTGTTTTAAAAAAGTTTAATTTAGTTCATTTATATATAGCCGCTCTGAATAAAACGGTGATGTCATCGTCGACCTAAGTTTAGTTCTTGTACAATAGTGTCAATGCAGGCAAATCAATACTATTGTTGAATATTAATTTAAATGTTACATTTAATGTCCCAAACTAAGCGAGCCAAGCCAATGGCAAAAAGGTGACAGTGGCAACTGGCAAGGAACCAGAACTCAATCAGGTGGCAGAATGGAGAAAAAAACCTTGATAGAACCCAGGCTCCATCAGGGGGCCAGTTCTTCTCTGGCCAATGAATGAACAGTGTATGATTATGATTCAGGCAGCATTATAGGTCAGAAGTCAGATTGGTTTGGATCAATCAGAATAAGCAAAACATCTGTGTTAAAGATCAGGAAGCAATGAAGCATAAACAAACCTGATTCAGGGGTTCTCTGGAACACAGATGCACTCCATTTTCCCTTCTGATCTCCTTGTGAGATACAAATAGAAAACTCGTACATGCTGTCCGCAGAAAGAGTTTCAATCATGAGACGTCTCTGAGTGGTGTCCTTGTATTCCCATCTCGCAGATTCTCCTTTTTCTCGGTATTTCACGGTGTAATACCTGCACACATATTAGTTCTATACCTCAAATATAGCCTCCATATCTTTCATACATATATATATTTTATTTTTGAAGGATTATGTGACCCTGAAGAGTGAAGACTGGAGTAATGCTAAAATTTAGCTTTGCCATCACAGGTGTAAATGATATTTTAAAACATTAAGTAGAAAACATTAATTTGAAATTATATTTTTGATCAAAGCAGCCTTGGTGAGCATAAGAGACTTATTTCTTTATTTACGGTAGTGTATGCAGTGCAGCCCACATACCCCTTGGCACACCATGCAAAAAAAAAGAAAAAAGAAAAAAATAATTTTTACCTGGACCCCCCTGGTATTTCCTTCTTCTTTTCAACAAGTGGATCAACCCATGTGATAAGGACAGACTGAGGAGACAATACTCTAACTGTGATGTCCTCTACTTCATCTACAACCACTGGCTCTAACACACAGGTACAGGCATAAAAAAGGGTATAACAAAGAAAGAATATTAGGTTTGCGTCAGCTAAAATATTGAATATGGGTTGCTGGTTAGCACCACTATCATGTGTGATTACCTGTGGTCACTTTTTTACTCGAGGTGGCCGTGTTGATGGGTGCACTTCTCCCCTGGGCTCTGGGTGCCTGCAGTGATACCACATAGACGGACTCAGATGCTACGAACAGAAGGGGGATACCAGATACGGCCACGTATCATTACACATTACCTGAAATGAGATATACTGAAGACATGCAATCTGAGTTGTTTACAAATATTTGAGCTTAGATCTAAAGGCATACAGTATGCATATCTGAAACACAGTTTAACAGCTTGAAATTCCTATTAGCCACCTTCAAACATCCTTACCCAGTTTGGGCTTGTTACCATTGCGCTGGTCTGCTTGGTGCTGGCTGAGGTCCACTCTGTGTTTGTTTTGGGCCCGGAGAGGGAGGTGTCCTCCTTGATGAGGGGGCTCTGGTCCTGAGGATGACTGAGGGGCCCTCTGCTGTCCTAGTGCTGTCCTCTGAGTTGGGGGGCGTGCATTAATCTGTGATGAAGTTATAGACACCATCCTGTCTAGTTAAAGAGAGACAGAACAAATAATATTGGCATTGGAGTTTAATATAATAGATAATGTTACATTATCAAACCTAGTGGGGTCCGTAAAGTCTAGATTCAAAATCTAATTTAAACTTGGAAATAAAGTTTTAGGATTTTGAAAAATGTTAAACAAAGAAAGGTTGTGATATAAAAAGATATTAACGCCTTTGTTTAAAAAGCTCACATTTCCTTGCTTACACTGAAGCACACATAATATAATTTGTAAAGCAAAAAGCTGTATTAAATTAGAAAGAAAATAATTATTAAAGTATTTTCACAAGTGGTCTCACACTTTTAAATCCAGCCGTACTTCACAGAGGACGACTCATGTTTGCAATCTTTCATAAAACAAACAACATTGGGAAATACTTGTGGAGACGCATGGAGATTTGCTAAAGTGAGTACAGTTACAGGGCCACACAGTTTACAGTCATGTGCAATCTCACTTCCTCTCTTATTGCTTTACTGTAATCCCACATCTGACAAGACTTGGCAGGCGAATGAGACAGTCAGACAGTCTTCCTTCCCTCTTTCCTTCAACACACGCGCATCTCTCTGTCTCTCCCTCTGGTGTGCAGTACATCCCTGAGAGGGTAATGAAAAACAGCCTCTCTTTCTCCATCCGTCTGTAATTTTTCGCTTCTTTAATCATTCTCAGATGATCGGTTGTAGTCACATTTCCTCATTAGAGTCTGTGTGTAATTTAAAGTTTGATTGTGACAGTTGAGTGTAGCATTAAAAAGTTCAGTAATTAAGTCTTTATCGTTATAGAAAATGGGGTGAAATTAAGGTTTCAATTATATTTCTCAGCTATTTGATAATTTTTTTTTTTTTTTAAAAAAGCTTTAAATTATTTTAGTACCTCAATTTAGCTTCAAGCTTTCTAAGAAAAGTTGTTCCAGGGAAAGTAAAAATAATATATGCCTTAGCAACAAAACGAACATTGACATAATATCATAATACTGATTATTAATAATATTATTTGCTTGCGCGTCGCAGCTTCTTTTTGTGAAACCGCCAAGATTTAAATTCCCAAAGAAATGTGCTAACCTTTTACAGGTGAGTGATGCCTTCGTCTTGTTGTATTGTGTTAGTTTAGCAAAATAATCTGCTTAAGTCAATTTCATATATAGAAATTCTATTCACACATGCTCAGTCAACTCGCTCTTGATTGTTAGTGGCCCATTGAAAAGGCTGTATATGCATAATACGTTTGTATGCAATACGCTGATTTCACGCAGCCGCCATTTTGAAATGGCTCCGGTGGGAAGAAAACCGAAAAGTGTCGCCTTTAATCATAGGAGACTTGCGAACGCGATGGCGTATTGTTGTGTTTAATGTAGAAATTTGTTATTCTAAAAATGTACATGCGTTTCTTTCATAGTTGCAATAAAATTTTATAAATTTCTAAATATTTTTTTATATATATTCAGAACATAAAAAAAAGAAGCAGGAAGGAACTACAGTATATACATATCCTATATTGGATATTAACATCTAATAGTTTAAATCGTGGCAGCAGCTTCAGGTTGGTAGTCCAAGACATTGTTGTCTATCTGTACTTCCGGGATTCTTCCCACCAGAGCCTTGCTTTCAATTTCAAAATGGCAGCTGCGTGAAATCAGCATATGAACAGCCAATAGGGATGTCTGGAATTGCTGATGTCGACACTAGTACTGCTCTTCTTCTACTTCACTTCCCTCACTTTTAAGCTTCACTATCGCCACCTAGCGATATGGATACGCCACCTATGCATACAGATTGAATTACATAAGATGCCTTAACTCCTCCTGTTATTTTTTCTCAATTCTTAAAGTATTTTAATTATAAAAATAATTTTACATTGTATATTCAAGTAAATTTTAGACGACGCAAGACGCAGACAGACACACTTGGAAAACTAAAGATTTGTCATTGTTTCATGAAGCAGTGTTTTGAAAGCACCCAACTTCAGGTTATTTTGAGTATTGAAAAAAATGTGATTAAAAGGGAGAAAAAAGGAGCTTCATATCCTTTATAGCTAGGCATTTTTATGAGGGTTTTGGCTAAACGCAAGCCTCACGTGCACGCTTAAGGACTATGTTATGATTGCTCTGGCATCACTCACCTAATAATCAAGCTCTACCAGCATTATTAACACTTAATAAGAAATGTCAGGTCTCGAAATGAACTGAGATGATAGTAACAGCAACTCATATTCCTCTGTACATACAAACAGACACTTATTCAGACTTCAGAGAGTCCAGCCAACACAGCTGAGGCAGGCTCACTCACATATCACTGGCCTTGAAACAGGGGTGAGACGTAGTAGCTCACCCTTCTCTAACTCTTTCCCTCGCTCATTGTTTTTATAGTGTCAATCTTCCAAGTCGATGTCATGGATCCGTGATGCCACATCATTCTCTTTTTCCACCCCTTAGGTCGGATTTGTTCGCTGATTGAACAAATTATCTCCACGAATTCTCTCCGTGGGAGGTTTTGGATGCGATAACAAGCTCCAGGTTCCAGGGGCCAGACCAGAGTTACCATGTCCATGTGTGGACTCAGAGTCAGCTGGGCAACATGTGGATCATGCTCACTATAGTTGGTCCCACTTATTTCTACTGCCAAAGAGATGATAGCACAACAATGGTGGCTGTGAAACAAAATTGAGCTTTTCCTGACACATTCTTGCCAATTCAAAGTTACAAAGTAGAATGACACGACACATATGTCTTTAGTTAACCCAGCGGCAAAGCCAGAGAAAAATTAGAGCAACGCTATGGTAACATCATGACAACACCAATAACAAATAACAAACATGGACAGGACAACAGGCCTAGGGAATAAAATATTAATGAAATGCCATTTCTGTAGATGGTAAATAAATGTAACCAGGCCCTAGCCAGATGAATTTCGCTCCACTCATCCATCTGGAACCGATCCATTGAAATGGCGTTTCAGAAGGCTGGGCCTTATCAAAAATCCTTGCATATGATTGGATAAGCCACTTGTCTGTCATCTTTATTGACGTGCTATTTCAACCACTCACACCGAAGCCAACCCGTGACGCTAATGAGAGCGACGCAGGAAAAAGCGACGCTTGCCAAATCCGGTCGGGAGAAGGGCGAAAACATAGTTTCCACCAACAAAAACCTTCAGAGCCGTTCTCTGATGTTCTTTTAATGAAACAATATTAGGTAGATTGGACAACACGGATGAAATAGCAGCATCAATGTTAACGCTTGCTTCCTCGATGCGAGCCGCCATTGTTGTCTGAATCAAAACAGTCTCACGGTCGCTTCTCCACTACGTCACATCTATGAAACTCCCGCCCTGCGTCCTGATTGGCTAAGCCATAAAGTTGGTTGGAGAAATCACTCTCAATGGAAGAGGTTCCAGATGGATGTGAGTGAAGCTAGGCGGAGCTAAGCGGAACGACATTCATCTGGCTAGGGCCAGGTTAAAATAAATGAGCACAATCAATATTTCTGTTTCCAAATATTTTTTGTTGTCTGTTCCCAAATCTCTAAAGAAATCTATGTAGTCCATGTGGTACTGTATGTATTAACAGAGGTAGGTTGGACATTGATCATCACATGTAATTGTATCTGTGGGATTCTCTTTTACTCTTGAGATTGTAGGAATAGGATACTAAAACACTTGGTTTAAATCTGGGATTCCTTCTTCCCCTCGGGGGGCTCGCATGTACAGAGTTTGGCTTTAAGTGGGCTCAGTGGATTCATGAAAAAGAGAAATAAAAGCTTTGATTTAACAAGTTTACAACTGAAAAACTGCCACTGTCTTTCCAGGAACTTGGGGTATCAGAGGTCTTTCTTTCTGGCATCCAAATACACATCCAAACTTTAATCCTTCTCAAGGGAAAAACAACATAGCTGTTCTCCATAAGCCTGCATGTCTGAAATCTGTCATTTACCATTAATGTACAGACACAACTATATTTTTGAAGTTGAAGGAGTTTTACGCATTCCAAGAAGGTTGGATTTGACTTAAAATGTTATTTCATAACTTATTTTATGTTTATCTGCAACCTGCTTGGCAATACTCCTCATAAAATTGTTGTGCATTAATCATAGGCTGGAAAAGTATTGAACCTACCTGGAGTGGATCTGTTGAAAGGCTCGACAGCAAAGCCATCCAGTTTCACCCACTCTCTCCCTGCAGGAGAAAAGAGCGGTGTGGTTAAACATATGGATGCATACTAAATCGGTACCATATTGGTTATTGGTCGATATTTGAGTCATTTAAATGTGTTCTTATCGACTGATATTGGATATTTAATTGAGAAAGATCGATTCCCATTTTTTTTTTTTACAATTAAAGTCAAGTTTGCAGCCAACTAACACTTAAATGGAGTTAACCTTTAAAATAATTAATTATAATCTTTGGAAAAAAAAAATGTTTTTCAAATTTTAAATTATAATGTTGTGATGCCTAAATAGTAGAAAAGTTGTCAATGCCTTATCATTCATCCCAAGATGTCACAAAACACATGTGACCATATCACGAATTTACAGCAATTTCCTCTTTTTATAGGCACTTTTTTTGACTGGATTATCAGACAAAACATAATAAAAAATAAATATTACACATATATGTGTACAAAATGTTGCATCAAAACAACCAGCTATCCTTAAAACAAGGCTGTAACACAAGACATGTTTACTACTGCTAAAAACATCCTCAGCCAAGAACATTTATGATCTGTTTGCAGGATTATTAATGTGCTTTTCTATTATGACAGATGTTTTGGGGAAAGTGCTGTGGGACATGCAGCAATATGCCCAGATCCTGTTTGTTGGAGACGGACATGGACATACTGAAAAAAATCGACGTGAAAAGAAATGTATGTGGCTTGCGTTGGACGAGTGACTGGCTACCACAACACAAGGCTTAAGGCTCTTGACTCGAGCTCCGGGTAAGATGCAAAAACAAGAACTGGCCACATAAATGTTCTATCTTTGGGGATTTCAATCTCACCAGATGCCAACAGTGAATGGATTTATTTGGAAAAAAAAGAAAAAAACGATATATCCTTACACACTGCAGTCTACACATGAGTGTTTTAGCCATCCAGTCTGGTTTAATATTGTGAAATGAACAAAAAGCATAGAGAGCTTTCAAGTTATAAATACTTCCCTTGTAAAAGCATTATAATAATGTGTGTTAAAGTCTAACAAGTCTAAATTAATGAGGCAAATAAAAGTGTATATTTAGACATTTAATGGCATCCATGTACAGTGACTACTAAAATGATGTGTACACTTCAGCTTAAAGGCTTGTTGCGCTACAGTTTTATAATGTTCAAAATTAGAAATATACACTAAACTCCTGTTCCTACTGTTGGGTCAGTAAGAGTTTTTGGTAATTGCTTCCTTTTACAGTCCTGTTACCCATGTACATACTATGTACTTATTATAGTAATTACAATTACTGGGTAATAACTAGGTACTAACCCTGAACCTGAAAAAATTAGCAGTAGGGTTTTCAACATTGACAATAATAAGAAATGTTTACTGAGCAGCAAATCAGCATAGAATAATTTTCAGAAGGATCATGTGACACTGAAGACTGGGGTAATAATGCTGAAAATTCAGCTTTGCTATTACCAGAATAAATTATATTTTAAAATATAAAACAATTATTATTAATTGTAATATTGCACAACATGAAGAGTTCAGAAGTGCCATTTGAAATTTTCTTCTAGAATGATCATTTTTATCAAGCTTGTATATTTAAGTTCAGTGATTTCACTTAAATTGCAATGATAATTACCTATTAATTGTTATTTAAGTGAAATTACTGAACTTAAATATACAAGTTTGATAAAAATCATCATTAAAGAAGAAAATTTCAAATGACATTTAGAGGCTTTTGCATCTGAACTCTTCATATTACTATATTTCTGTTTAAATAAATTGAGCCTTTGAGAGCATTTGAGACATGTTTCAATAATGAATGTAATGTATATATAGATCTCTATAGTTAATATGGTAAAAATGTGGTTCAGAAAATTGAGAACAGTTTGAAATTTAATATTCCAATGCAATGAAATCCATATCTTTAGAGGCCACTATATATTGACAACACTGAGGTATTCCTGTATACTATATTTTTAAAGGACAATTCTAACATGCACATGTGTTTGCATGTTTGCGCTTACTGTACTTTATATATCCATGCACCAAAGTACAACATAGTGAAGAGATTAGAAGGTCATAGAAACATGCAGATCTCTCTCAACACACAGGCAAACACACACCTCCTGGAGTCTCTGCCCTGTAGACAGGTTTACTCATCCCATCCTTATTCTCTGCACTCATCTTGAGAAAATGCAGGACTCCAGGCTCTAAAACAACACAACATGCACATGAGAGCCTGCCATAGTGCTGAAGTACTCAATGTGAGTCTCTAGCTTTTCATTTAAAGAATGATTGATTTACGCTCTCACCTACGTCCTCTAGTAACTCTGACCGTCTGTCCTTGTCCACAGTGACGAAGCGTAGTGACTTCATTGACTTCCCATAGCCAATGCTGTAGCTATCTACAGGCTGTCCGTCCAGCTCGCTGGGTGAATCCCATGTGACCTTTAACCCCTTATCCACCGAGGTCAGTTTAACATTACGTGGCGGCAGTGGCTTAGAACCTGATAAAGAGAGAGAAAGTGTAAAGTTGCCTGTCAATAACATTGCAATACCAGCCTGGTGAGTTTGTTTCCGTAAGATTGCAGTTGCAGGAAATAACAATAAACTACAATCCAATATCTTATAAGCTACTATTAGTCTAAGGAAGGGATATTGAGGGTCATTGACACAAAATAAACCCCAAAAGTGGTTTATTTTGCAATTATGTTGAACAGACTGCACATTATTCCACAGCTATGTGGAAATTGCTCTGGAACAATGGTCAGTCATTCAGTTTAGTTGTTATTATGCTGAAATATTTGACCAATGAAAGCATGTGATTGACCAATCAGAATCAATTATTGCAGAGGGCCATTCAATCTTTAAAATAAAAGTTCTTTATTGGCATCTACAATTCCATGGAATCTTTCAATTGCACAAAAGGTTCTTCAGATTATTAAAATGTTCTTCACATTAAGAAAAAATATATATTTTAATATCAGTTCACAGATACGTTCTGTGGGGAGCCCAAAATGGTTCTTCTATGGCTTTTGAAACCTTTATTTTATAGTAACCTAAACTAAATTGTATAAACTCAGCATGACAATTAGCTTGTGAGAGTTATGTGTAATGTAGATCTTTTTGAATGAAGTAGAGCAATACTCAGTCTGAAGTACTATAGTGTGCTCAGTCTGTTTTTCTAACCCTGCTCTGAGTTAGAGAGAGCAAATCTCTCATCGCTGTGCCTGTTTACTGTACAACAGCATGACTCTGGCATCAATATGGTGAGAGAGATCAATCTCTATTATTTCTTTAAGTGTACACACGGACTCTTGGTCACTGCTTTATATTGTAATATTGGCAATGGAACATCCACATAATCTGGAACCACATCACACGTGTCAATGCAATTACTACACACACACACACACCACACACAGGCCACAGAAACACCAAACCTCAGTCTGTGACTTGGCCCATATTAAAATTTATGATGTAGGGAGGGTTCACATTTTGATTAAATCAAGACTTGTAAAACATAAGAATTAAATTTTTCGTCAAAAATAAACATTTTATACTGGAGGAAACTAACCATGGCAGATGTTATGGAGTGGACATCACCTACATCAGTGGTTCTCTCTCTCTCTCTCTCTTTTTTTTTTTTTTACATTGAAAACCCCTGGTAAAGATGGGAAGACTACATTTTATCTGCCGAAGGTCACATAAGAATCTTCCCAGCAATAAGGATTTTTTTTTCTAGTTTGGATTTGCATATTGCCCTGCTAATTGTAAACTGGAAATGTTTTACTTGTAATTTTTAACCAATTCAAAGACTATCACAATTTACTGTCGCAATTTTTGACAAAAAATTTTTGATGTGAGCCATTTGGATTTTATCAGTTTGATGACATATTTTCATCAGCAGAATTTGCAAAACAATGTTCAACAAATCACAGAAATCCAAATGTTTAGATAAGCAGGGCTTAAAATCACATGTATATAGTCAACAAATGTAAGATTCTTCAAACTCAAGAACTGACCCAAATCACTTGAAACTCTTTTACACTGGCTCCGAACCATTTATGTTGTTCATTCCTTTATGGTGTTTATTGAGAGGCTGAAAGTAAATGCCCTGTGGTCCTGTCAGTTTTGTTGGATTGTTTTTATAAGCACTCACGGAAAGACCTGCAGGGCAAGCACCTGCTTTTCTGACATCATTTTCTCAATGAAAGGCATAAACAAACATTCACTTGCTTATTATTTTCATTTAGGTGTCTGGATGACATTCAAATAAACGCAAAAGGCATTTAGAGTGTAACTCTTTTACACACACTTTTCAGCCTGAGCTAGCTGCTGTAATATACCCACGTGTTATATTGGAGGGCTTTCCCCTGATGAGAGACAATCCTCAAACGCGAGGGATTGAAAGATTGAGCATGGGCATCATGCCAAAATGCTGGCTTCTTGTGTCGCTGCATACTCACTTATCGACAGATTGAGTTTCTAACCCTTCCTGCCTGGCTCGCGTCAATCAAAGACTTTCCGCAAATTCCTTGGTGAAAATCTGAGCAAGATTTAATTCCAGTAGCTGGTCAGGGCATGACTTTTCTCTTCCTCTGTCTGGCAGAGCTCTTACCTGACAACACAAGCTAATTTTTTACCAGAGTAACAACAGACGTGTTGTTAAAGTGCAGGGTTGTGGAAGAAAGTCCTAAGCCTCATTCTTTCCAATATATCTTTTATCTGTCAAGCAGATGTCTGGAAAGGTTCTGAAGCTGCAGTTGGGCACCATTAGTAAGAGATCTAAAAGGGTTTTTTTTTTTGGCTTGAAATCAGTAAAGCTTTACCGTCTAGTACACTATATCGAAGCAGCCCATGGCTTTAAGATTTAGTTGTTTTGGATGTATTTTGTTTTGTTAAAGATGGAGAGGGGGAGCAAAGAGAGGAAGACTGTATAATATGCAGCTGCTGATGGCAGTCACAGGCTGCACTGGGTGACCTCATATAAAGAACATTTCCAAAACACTGAGAAAGAGCAAGTGAGAAAGAAAAAGGCCTGTTGTAACGTGGCAGCTAACACGGCTCAGTAGGACTTAGCTACCACTTTTCTCATCCAAGATTCCTCTGCATTCTCTTCAGAATTCAGCAGGACAGGGAGAGTGAAAGAAAGTCAAAGAGGGGCAGAGAGAGAAAACGTGGCTGAAATTGATTTGAGGAGCTGAAAGCAAAAGAATGTCTAAAACATCTGTGCTTTTACACTCCCTGATGACCTTTTAAAGAGGTTAACCGTTACTTCCTGTCCTGGCTTTAATCTGATAAAACACCTGCTGAGAGCTGCACTTACAGTATCTATCTATCTATCTATCTATCTATCTATCTATCTATCTATCTATCTATCTATCTATCTATCTATCTATCTATCTATCTATCTATCTATCTATCTATCTATCTATCTATCTATCTATCTATCTATCTATCTATCTATCTATCTATCTATCTTTGCCTTGCCTAGCCACGGGTGAGTTATAACGGCTCAATTAACCGCAATCAATTAGCAGTAGTTAACAAGGATGACCAGAAGTAGAACTTGTACTTGTAGGCCAAAGTTTTAGTCTCAATAATATATATAGAGCCTATATATATATATATATATATATATATATATATATATATATATATATATATATACACACACACCACTGTTAAAGATTTTGCTAAAGAATGTATCCAACCGATTGAAAATATGGAATAATAGATGTCATGCCTGCAAGATGACCTTTTTAAAAACTGATTCATATTGCTACAAAAATCACGGTTCCATAAAAACTAAAAGTAAAAGTTTGTGCACCTGCCTGTCAAGTCTCACCCTCTCGAGCATTAGGCTAAGCTTTTAGTGCTTGGAATGTTTATTACAGGTTTCGCACAATATGACCAACTAAACCAAACTCAGACCTGGAGATTTATCAACCGCAGATGAATAATTCACGAGAGCTTTTTGTCATAAGTGCTTGTGACAAAATAATATTTTAAGATGACAACAGCATAAAAGATAGCCCTGGAAAGTATAACAGACGAAAATATACTTAAAGAATTCACAAAGCTTGATTTTGGGAAGTAATATTAACATAGACAGAAGCAGATTGACCTACCCGACAGCAGTGGGCTCTGGGTGCAGAGTGTGACCAGGAGACCGAGAAGAGCTCGTGCCCGTGCAGGAGACATTGCAGACAGTGCTTCAGTATTAATGCGATCCGCTACACTGAGGGAAGAAAGGCTATGGGATGCTCGGATGCCTCGATTCCCGTTCTCACCGGCAGTCTACGTGCTCCTTCCCAGACGTTGTCTCCCTCTTCCGGGGACGAACGGGACTTGGGGCTACCAAAATGTCTTTTGAAACTTATTGCCTCTGATGTAGAACTCGTTTATCGTGCTGTTTACCCAAGCCTCATTCTGTGCACGAGGTAATACTTTAATGCAATATTAAGTTTTAGCTATTGTATTTGAATATTCATAATTTTCTAACTGAATATTAATTAAAAGAGATCTAAATTGTAGAGCTTAAATTCAGTTCTAAAAGTATAGATATTACAAATATATGCATTCTCCACACATTTCAAACAAAATCATGCGCGCAATTTGGAGAAAGTGGACGGTATACGAAACCAGTACGAAACGACTTTGGACTGTAAAGTTTACAGGTTTGTCGTTCCAACTTCCATCCATAGACAGTAAGAGTCGTTCGCAGTTCGAGAACGTCTGTATCCTTAACTGCGTAAATTAATAGCCTACAAAGCTACAGTTGTTTAACATAGGCTATCGATTATGCTAATCAAATCAAGGCTACTTTGATTCCCATCCCATTTCCTTATTCCCATTATATAGCCTTATATATTATCTAAAATTTATACTTTTTTATTGTTGGTGAAAAGCTTTTCGTATGTTATATAGACGTATAGGATATAAATTAAGAAAGAGAACCTGCTGATTCGAAGACATCCATTGGCGTGATCTCAAATCAAATACATCCAATTACTTTTTTACTTAAACAATGTCTGTAAATCCTTATATTTTCACAGAGATAGCTCATCTCAGAAGGACAGTGCTGGTCATGTGTGATAGTGAGTGATTTCAGTTCTGTAGTTTTTTTTCTGATTGGTAACCACAATAAAAGAAACAGATTTGTATTTATTTATTTATTTATTTAACACAATGTAATAGCGGGCCCTTGAGGCAGACTTGTTTGTGGTGGACTGATCAAGCTGCTATGTCTGTGTGACGCAGATGTGCCATAACCTCCTAATTACTTGACAAGAAGGAAAGAGAAGGGAATAATATTTTAAAAAAACAACGACAGTTTTTTCGACTCTAGAAACTACCCAGCAGCTAAATGTAAACATAACTGAACAGAAAAACCCCTAGAGACTGCAGAGCTCCAAGCACAAATAACCCTGAGTAATACATCAGCAAATAAGACTCCATCACTGGACAGCCATACTCTCAGGGGACCGTGAGAAAGAGGCAATTAGGTCCATGTGAGATGGGAATTAGAGGGATAGTTCGCCCCAAAATGAACATTCTGTCATCAATAACTCACCCTCATGTCGTTCCAAACCCGTAAGTCTTTCGTTCATCTTTGGAACACAAATGCAAATATTTTTAATAAAATCTGAGCTATTTCTGTCCCTCCATTGACAGCAATATGCAACTACCACTTTGATGCATTAAAAAGTTCATAAAGAGATCATAAAACTAATCTATGTTAATTTAGTGGTTTAATCCTAATTTTCTGAAGAAACACGATAACTTAATATGACAAAAAGATTCAATGTGCGAGTTGATATGTTTACATGTGAAAAAAAAAAGCGTAAATTCAGTCTGTTCGATCATGTCTCGCCATAAAATTTGGACTAAACTACTCAATTCATATGGATAAGTTTTAGGATCTCTTTATGAACTTTTTGAATTATCAAAGTGTTAGTTGCATAGCTGCCAAAATAGAGAGTGACAGAAAGCACTCAGATTTAATCAAAAAGATTGAATTATCTTCTGTTTCTGCGTTTACGAGTCTGCAGTGACGCTAGTGACGTAAGACACTGCTGACGTGTTCTCTGTGTTCTCGAACACGTCAGCAGTGTCTTACGTCAGCAGCATTACTGCATACAGAACCGGAAGACAATACAATGTTTAATAAAGTCATAGTTTTTGTTATTTTTGGACCAAAATGTATTTTTGATGCTTCATAACATTCTAACTAACCCACTGATGTCACATGGATTACTTTGATAAGACTTTTGATGTCTTTATTTCCTTTCCAGACAAGGGCAGTATATTGTACATACATTTTCAATGGAGGGACAGAAAACTCTCGGACTAAATCTAAAATATCTTAAACTGTGTTCCGAAGATGAATGGAGGTCTTACGGGCTTGGAACGACATGAGGGTGAGTCATTAATGATGACATAATTTTCATTTCTGGGTGAACTAACCCTTTAAGATAGTTATTGATGTGGTGACTCAAAGTACAGTTCTTACATTGCCTAGAGGGTTCTTCTCAGCCTCTTCTGCATGACAAAGTAATTGCCAGGTTGCACAGTGTCAGTCTTATCTTTGTAATGTTCCCTGTGCTTCTGTGACAACTGGGTAAAAGAGAATGACTAATCAGTAAGATAAAAGAGATCAGTTGAGAACATGATCCACATTAAATTCTTAAGGCTTAAAATCCTTGATCTTCTTCTGTCTATTGACATTAATGTTGTACTGGGCCCAGTTGGGGAAGATACTGTTTTGTGTATTCAGTAGGAGCTCGGGGCACACCACTCTGATAGGAGATGCTTTTGCTGCCGTTTCGGCAGATTGGATATTTTGGATGTACTTTAGGGTTGTATTGCCAAAAGTCTCCCCATTCAGGAATTTTGTAGGAATGTTTCCACAGTACCTTTAAATGGTTCAGGAGTTGCACAAAAAGGCCTAGCTGTTGTTGAAAATATAATTTTATGATTTGCCTGAAATTAACCACAGAGAATGTCAAAAATGCCAAAGAAACAGACCTTAGGTGACAACCATATTTTGTTAATTCAAATTTATTTCAATTAATTGATTCAGTTGGAATATTTAACATTAAGGGACAGCACACATTCATTTTCTATGTTTGAAAAGAAAAATACTCTAATTATCAAGGTATGTCCCCCAAAGTCAAAACTTACCAATGAAAATCAATTCAAGGGGTACTTTAAAAAAAATACATTTCTGACACTGCCGTGACTGCCCTGATCAGAAATAGGGCTATGTTTTTACCCCGGCATCAGATAAGATGGGATGTAGATTGTGGTGGTATGCGTTTTGAGAGCCATTTCCTCTGAAAGTCATGGCTGAATCATTGCGTCTGACCTGCACCACAGATAAGACAACAAATGGTTGACTGGACCATTTTTTCAGGATAGCATGATGCGGTTGTAATTTAGTCAGTTTTGCTCTAATTGATAATATATACGATGTAATATATATATATGTATTTTTTAGATATATAAAAGCTTGTGTGAAACGGAGTGGGGTTTTCTGCAAGAATCCACCCCCCTCCTGAGAGTCCTCGGTGAGTGCCTGCCCCCTGCCGGCGTCATCCGTCATCGCATTGTGCGGAGCAGTGGCGAGGCGCATCAAAGCAGTGTGAAAGAGTCTCGCAGCGGATCTGACGAGTGTACGTACATGTGTGCGCATTGTAAAGCGAGAGAAAATGAAAGCTCTTTAATTATTAATAACTCTTTTTATGTTATTGCGCACAGAGGATGCAGCCAGTACAACGAGAGGATTTTTTTCTATTTGATGCAGCGATTAAAAGCAGTTAAGACCATGTTATAAGTTATGCAGCGTTGGTCAAGATAGATCCGCGGTCTTTGTGATGAAACATTTTAATTCTGTTGTAGGCTTTTGAATTTTTCTTCCTCATTCCAAGTTGAAATGGCTTTAGTGGTGTACCTAAAGACTGTCACGGAGCTTCGTGGGAAGGGGGACCGAATCGCAAAAGTGACTTTCAGAGGTATAGAGCAATACTTTTCATTTCTAGTGCATGGGTTTGAATGTGTGCAGTTGTACACTAAACATCTTGGGTAGTACTATACATTATGTTGCTTTTATATTGTTTTATGTTCTATTTAATGTCTATGCCATGCAGTGTTGTGTAACTTGAAATTGTGTGTCTGATAAAAAGTTGTAGAAATCCATGCTATTCTTAAACGCATGTGTTTATCATACAACAAGGGCTTTTTATATGATAAACCCCCCGTGTTTATAGATGCATCTCAACAATTTCGACTCACACACAAGCTTGAGCTGCTTTCCTACTTGGTTTCATTATATGTGTATCTATCTAGATTCTCGTATCAAGGCTTAATGTTCACTGCAGTATTGTTTGATACGTTGTTGTTGATACGTAGCAATGGATATTCATTTTAATAAGCTACTGGGATTCTTTTCCAAAATGTTTTTCAAGCTCAGAGACCCTTTTCTTTTTTCTTTTTTCAGCTGTATTTGTATTTCAGCACCCTGGACAGTTGCTAAGTGTTGATCTGATGCAATCATTCTCTATTTCATAAAATGTGTATGTGTAAGAGAGAAAGGGTGGGAGAAAAATAAAGCCAGAGATGTGTGTTGATGCTATGTTTCTGGCATATAAAAAGATAAATTACAACATCACATTAGGTAAATGAAGCAGAAATGAGCTAGGACAAATAACATTTCATTGGTAAATAAAAACGTGGATGCATGTTTTAAAAGAGTAAACATCTTCAGGTATTAAGGGGAATCTTTTTGTCATCTTTACTGAATCACATTCTGTTTGAAATGACAGTGAGTGTGACGGTCTCCTTCAACTTACTCCTAGGGAGTTTATTGAGACACTGCAAGTGATTGAAGCCATTTTGATGCTTTGTCCTGTTGCCACTGTTTCCCCCCTTCCTCTCAGAGGGCAATGACTATTAAGCTCTCCTCCTGCCACCCTTTCCTTTCCTCCCTTTCGGTCTTCCTCTGATCTCCACCAGGCTCAGTGTGCCTGATCTAGGCTGTCTGGAGCGGAAGGGCTCCACTGAGCTGTGTCCTGTTTCCCTGCGGGTTGCATAACTTAGATTGAGTACCTCGGAGTGGATCTGAGAACAATGAAAAATTACAATGTGATTCTTATCATAGTATCGGAGATAGAAAATGATTTAATAAAATATTGGCTCTCAGACAGTATGAGATTTGATTGCTTTAGAATGTGACGTGTCCTTGTAAAGACTGCATTATTGAACTTACTGTTTAAAATTGTCTTGTCGGTTAAAGGTTGCCCATGCATTTTAATTGAAGGTAGGGTAGGAAATGGTTTAAATATTTAAAAAAATTAAGCACACCCTGCTTGTACAGGCATCACACGTCATCAGCTTCTTCTGTAAGGCTATGCATGCAGAGTTAGAGAGTCACTGAGCGCCACACACAGCTGCCTTTTACAGTTTCTCCTAGACTGAATGATTTTGGAAAATAATCTGATTGTGATTTTTTTTTTTAACCAATATTGCGATTTAAATATATGATTATTTTTATTCAGTTTTTTTCAACAAAGACAAGCAATTTCAGTAAGAAAATCTAATTGACGATATTATCGCAAATGCAATTAATCGTTCAGCCCTATCCTAAACCAAAACAATGAGCTGCATTTACGCCACTCTTGTCGTAATTACTGTAATTAAAGGGATAGTTCACTTTGAAATTCATTTTTGATATGTTTTAGGGCATCCAAGATGTAGGTGTCTTTGTTTCCGCCGTATTTTCAATTTTGATATTTTTAGGTCAAACCGTTCTTGTCTGTCAGTCATATAATGGAGGTATAGGGGGTCCTCCTGAAAAAGCATGCATAGAGAAGTCAAACTTAAACTAGTCAAAATTAATTACAAATTAATGAACGTATTTGTAAGTACACGTTGATGGCCTAAGACACGAAACGAGCGGTTTGTGTGAGAAAACGAACAGTATTTATATCGTTTTTACCTCTTGTAATCACAGTCACGTCCAAGCTCTGATGGCACAGGCGCTTCGGTCTTGCGCATTTATTCTCACATAAACCGCTCGTTTCGTGTCTTAGGCCATCAATGTGTACTTAGATTTACAAGTCATTAAATCATGTTTAGTTTGGACTTCTCTGTGCATGCTCTGTGAGGTGGACCCCATATACCTCCATTATATGACTAACAGACAAGAACGGTTTGACCTAAAAATATCAAAATTGAAAATACTGTGGAAACAAAGACACCTTCATCTTGGATGCCCTTGAGGTAAGCTAAAACATATCAAAAATGAATTTCAAAGTGAACTATCCCCTAAAGAGCGGGCAACCCGTGATGTTGTACCCGGAGCATGTTTGCTAAGCCTCTCAGAAATTGCCTACACTACCTTTATGTTTTTACTCAATTTATGCATGTTACGTAACCATTTTCGTAACTATCTCCTCAAGCAAAAGCATCTTTAAATCTAGGTTATAAGCCTGGTGATACTTTAGCTTTTGCCCTCAATGAGTATAATAAAACTATGCAATTCATAAAGTCTTCCCCATTATGCTTTTTTTTAGTCAATTCTTGTTTTCCTATTAAGAGTTTGGCGTAAAAAATATTCCACACCAGCTGAATTTTGTGATCTACAGCACTGTGTATAGAGGTTATAATGTTACCTGGGGGAAAAGCTCTTGTGAACAACAGCAGCCAGCTATGAGTTTGAGATGAGATGCTGTTTGTTTCTCTGAGACTGAGAGAATTTTGCTGTCTGTATTTTCAGAGTACATAACTTTCTTAATTTTACTCTTCTAAAGCATTTTCATGATAATTACCAGCTCAACTGTTCAACAAAGAATCAAGACAACAGTAGACATGGTATGATTGCATAAAACTACAATAGCACAATAAATCATAAATGGATTGCATATGTTATAAAAATCGATGGTTGTGAAACACAAACATACTGAAGACAAGACTATGTTGCATTGTGTTTATTTTAGTTTAAGGCCATATAGCTAATGATGATTTATGTATTTACCCTTTTTCAGCATTGATAAAAATCAATGGTTTACACTGGTTTATACATAAATCATTATTAGTTATGGCCTTACACTAAAATAAACACTCAATATTAGTGTTTGTGATGGCATGTGTAAGTGCGTAAGGGTGGTGTGTAAACATATTTGTATTGAGCGTTCATATTTACTTGTACCCACAAGGACACTCTGACAAGAAACAACGATCTGTATTATTCTTAGACAGAGTCAGACTTCTCTAAAGCAGTTTCACACTTCACTATTTTAACTATGTTGCAGTTTTATGATATTGGTATGATATGTCTTCTCTGTTGCTCTGTTTGGTAACACTTTACTTGAAGGGATGTGCATAAGACTAACATGACACCTTCATAATCATGACATGACACAAGTTTTATGCGGTTGGTTGGTTTTGACATTGGCTTTCATGAAGCCATTATAACATTTTAATGACAAATTCAATGTGTACCACTGTAGTTGAGGTCAAGAAAAATATTCATGACACCATTATAATGGCCTCATGACAGCCAATGTCAAAACCAACCACATGACAGTTTAACTTAATTTAATGTCAAGTTGTCATGACAAAGAGACTGTCAGGTTATGATGCTATGGTTTATGTCAAGATGTCATAACAAAGACATCTTAAACAATGTCATATTTGCATTCAAAATGTCACTATTGAGCAAATGACACTTGATGACAGTTGTCATAAACATGCATCAACCCTATTTTATATTCATGACTTATGTCATGTCATGGTTATGAAGGTGTCATGCCAGTCATGCACACCCCTTCAAGTAAAGTGTTACCCTCTGGTTCTTCTGGGCTGTGATGACCTGCCTATTATAATCCTAATAAAATCCTATAATGTTACCTACAACAGGTCTTCAGTGAGTTACACTGAGGGATTTGATAAACTGGTTATGTACATAATTCTGTCATGTGAAGAGGTTTGGGACACGCAGAATGAAATCTCTGGTGAACTGCCTAACTCAACCCGAGCACCACATTCAAAAAGAAACGGATAAAGATGCATTTTCATCAACACTTGCTATTCGAATCTATTTATATTTTATCTATTTCATTTATTTTTCATTTATTAACAAAATAACCTCGGTACATGTCCTGCTCTAGACTAACTGGGACTGGTCACAGCACTTTTCCCTTTTTGTTGGTTTGATTGCTTCAAATGTTTTCATTTGTTAGTCGCTTTGCATGAAAGCGTCTGATAAGTGATTGAATGTAATGAGTAGTTGTGCTGCTAGTCAATTGTTTTATTTGTGATAAAACAATGAAACATTCCAAATTGTCATTAAAAACAATCATCACTTTAGGCCACTACTGTATATAATATGTAAAATAATTTCTGTTATGTTAGTCTCTTCTGAGCCACATTGACCTTTAACCTTGTTCATCTCTCCGCAGGTCTTTCTTTCTTCTCTCGGGTGCTGGAAAACTGTGAGGATGAGGCTCGATTTGAGCAGGTCAGTCCGCCCCAACCCTGCTATATTCTACTAATAACTCTTGCATCTTCTGATACATATATATAGGCTACAAATTTGATTGCTCACTCCCCAAGAGAGGATGTGGTGAAGGAATCACACGAGGAATCGAACCGCTCAACCGTGGCCAGACGCATCACATTTAGCCCCACTGATTCCTATTTTGCACAGACCCTCAGGCAAGCAACATAGCAGTATGAAGTGGCAATAGACCAGCTAAATTGCCATTACGCTAATACAGTTCTTTAAATGATTGCTCTCTTTACTCCGAAATATCCCTGCTACAGGTCTCATCCCTACATTTGATGGGTAGGAGGTAAAGCTGTGTTGCCTTCTCGTTCTTAAATATGACATGAAGATGTTCAATGTAAAGCACTTTGAGTATAAACCTACGTATGTTACAGAAGTGAGCCTGGAATTGCTGACAACTGGTTTGGGCAGTTCAGAATCGATTCTTTCTTTTAGGAGACAATAACTTTATTTGTCGTGCACTTTGATCTTTAAGACTTTACAGACCTTTGCGCTCTGCATGCAAGATAATAATCAAAAAAGCATAGGGGCACTTTAAAATATACCAGTATAACCTCCTCATGTGTCCTCATAGTAGGCAGAAATTCAATTATGTTTTGTTGTCAGTCGTGATTGGGACTCCCACACTAGTGTTAGCCTTGTTTGACGTTTGGAGGGGGTTGTTGATTTAAAAAAATATTTATTTATTTATTTATTGAGCTGCAAACAGCAAGCGTTACAAAATTGCTGTTTTGAATCTATTTTAAAACCAAGTGCTGCTAAGTAATGACTTAATCAGTTTTTTTTTATATTGTTGTCCTTAAATTTCCTATGAACTTTCTGGTTGGCCTTTTTATTTCCTCTCTATCCCTCACTAATAGTTTGGTGGTAATAGTTTAATCATTACCAGGCAGTTAGAGTGGGTCAGTACACACTTCAAATCGACTGAGCCCACTCGCCACTTATGATTACATCACAGATCTCATACTAAACCCCGCAAGACAGTTCAGAACTATCTTCACTCCTAGTACTGCACTGTAGGATATGTTCGCTTTCTTTCTGTCTTTCTCTCCCTCCATCTTCTCTTTTTTTAATAGCATGTTTGTGTTTGGCCCCCATCATTGTATTTTCAGGTTTGTATGACAGGCACTATCAGATTTCATATTCATTAGAAGTAACATGGGTTTTTAGTTTACCTAACACTGACATGCAATGAAAGCAGGGCATTATCAGAAAGCGAACAGTGTGTGAACCAATGTGCCCCTGAGCAAGACACTTAACACCTAGTTGCTCCAGACGCGTGCGACCTCTGACATATATAGCAATTGTAAGTTGGATAAAAGCGTCAACTAAATGAATAAATGTAATGTAGTTTGCTGCATCCACACAACATTGAACTCAGAACCTATCTCAAGATGGAAAGTATGTTCAGCACAGATTTTATGGGTTAACATTCACATTCTGCATTTTGCATATAAAGTATGCATATTCATATCCGTGTTTAAGTGATGGTTCACCCAAAAATGAAAATCCTATTCTCACCCTCATGTTTTTCCAAACCCATACTTTTGTTCATCTTCAAAAGACAAATTGAGATATTTTTAATAATGGAAAGGAATCACTTGCGCCTCAGCCTAGCCAGTGCTCTCGGAACAGGACACAATAAGCTGTGGAAAAGGACCCAAGGTCTAACTAGGACCAAGGAGCAGGACCGGAGCACAGAACGTTTTAATATATTTATTAGTATAAAATGACCAACGTTTTGACGCACATGCGTCTTCTTCAGAGTCAAACAGTCAATGGCAAAAAGATACAGAATTTAAAGAGTCATAATTCAAGATATTGGCCACAGGCCTAGGTGGGTGTGGTGCAAAAATTATCCAATCTATACAAGCACTCAAGTCTTAAAAAAAAAAAAAAAAAAAAATATATATATATATATATAATATTGAAAATAAAAAAATAAAAATAAATAAATAATAATAAAATAAATAAAAAACCTCCACAAATATACATACACACATACTGTAAATACATGCACATATCCATATAAAGAAAATTACATGGATATAACTAAACATACACAATCTAGCTACATACTGTATAGACACACATACGCATAAAAAATACTTAAACATAACTAAACACATGCATAGGAAAAAAATAATAATATTTGAGTGATTTCTCTCCCTTTAAAAATACAAAAAGAAATCATAAAAAAATCCATATGAATCAAGCGTTTTAATCCAATCTTCGGCAGAAACATGGTCCTTTCACCATATTATGGTGAAAGGAAGCTCAACTGTGCTTGCTTGATGCAATGCCTTGTTGGTACAGAAATTTCTCGTTTATTTGCAGCCCATTCTCACCCCCAAGGCGTCACTTAACTGACGCCTTGGGAAGCATTTGGACATGCTTCAATATCTGACGCTTTAGGCGCCCTTTAGCGTCAGTTAGATGACGCCCTAGGATCGCGTGTACCCTACCCCCACCCCACACCTAAACCTAACGCGTCCTCTAACTGACGCTTTCCTTTAGCGTCAGTTAGATGACGCCGTAGGATCGCGTCATGTAAGTGACGCTAAAGGGCGCCTAAAACGTCAAATATTGAAGCATGGTCAAAGGTGACGCCTTGGGGTGAGAATGCGTTGTTATTTGTGTTTCAAAGTCTTAATTTTTGGGCGAACTGCTCCTTTAAGCATACTTCCCTGCTTCGTGTACTACCATTCTGACATTCTCTCCATCTCTCATTCTGACATGTATCTCTCCATTTGTTTCCTCACAGCCTTATTATCTGAGAACAATTGAACATTGCATTGACTAGGGTCCTAATCAGTTTCCCTCTAATTCTTTGTTTCCATTTTTTGGATTGTATTTGAATGCTTTAATTAAAAATGTAAAAAATACAAAAATGTTGTGCACATCCCAAAGACCCAGATTGGGTTCAGTTCCAGGACAATAAGTCACAACTGAGCACAATTGTGCCTGATGAAGACCTGAGGGTCAAAACGTTGCCTTTTAATAAATCCTTTTGGAGCAGTAATTTTCCGTCTGCAGACTTAAAAATTTAAACATCAAAAAGCATGTCTAATCAATCGAATTCATAGAACCGTAACAACATAATCAGTGTTGGATTTTTTGCAGGAGCGTTTGAGGGCTAGAATGTGTCTCTTGATTGTGTGATAGCTATATGACGATAGCTTTCTTTGAAACAGTGATGAAATGCTCATGGAGTGAACTCTCAGAGCAGCTCTGGAAATGAAGTTCTTGTGTTCATCTTGTCTTCATATAATGAGACAGCAGACACTGAAAATACGATGAGAACCACTTGTTCTTGAGTGCAGCTGCTCATTCATTCTGAGACAAACAGAACATTTAGACTTTGGAAGAATACAAATTTGTCTCCAATGGTATGAAACCTGAAAGTTTAGTAGATGATTATTTAGTCTCCAGCAAGAGTCTCCTTTCCCGATAGTCCTGTTTTGATTGGATTAGCTATAAGGGAGACTTTCACCTTTTTGTCTTTAGTGGCTCTGGGATGGCTCTCTGGAACCAGAGTTCCTGGCTACTATCAGCATTTGAATAGTTATGCTGTTTCAATTGGATTGGTAATGCCCTCAGAGTAGGGTGTGTTCCTTCTTCATTTCAAGAGTCTCCTTCTCAATGTAACTCCTCCAGATTAGCATCTCAAGGCACAGAAACCTGCATGCTATGCTGATGAACTGAGATGCCTGTTGAATCATTTACATTGCTTTGTTTCAGTTTCTCCCCCCTCCATGTAAACTCCTCCCCTCTAAATGTATAAATTGTAAGGGAATATTCTCCCTTAGTTAGACTATCTTTGAGATGACTACAGCTACGCAATAAAGAACTTCTGCGTGAAAGATGCCTCAAGAGTCTCCTGGTCTGTTGCGTGGAAGAAGAAAAACTTCACTACAACTTCATGTTCCTTTTTACGGTCTAACAATCACAGACACTAGTCCATGTATGATTTTGATTAATTGAATGTCCCTACCGTTTAAGTGACTGGATTAAACAACTCTGTCCTCTTTTTCGGCAACGCAGAAATCATTGGGCTCTACCTTGTTTTCTAACCTTGCTGTGTGCAGCTGAGTACACCTTTCAGGTCTCAGCTGTACTCACACAAATAGACTATTCATTTGAATCAGAATGGACCCAGCTATTGTTTATGTATGAGCAATTATTATTTTATCTTCAACAAGCTCACAGTCGCTTGCAAAGACAAAGCTGTACATAATTTAACCAGACACATCCTGCTCTTAACATACCTGATATAGTGATGCATTTTTTCCCCACACAATATGTGCTTCCTCGTTTTATGCATCATATAAATAACATTTTAAGCACTTCTCAATGCTGTGGATTGTTATGGCGTATTGTTGCAGGGCTGTTGAACACTGCTTTAGGCATGCAGCCTGATGTTGACTGATGGACAGACACGGTTTTAGGCAGACACTTGCTGCAACCATGTGCAAAATTGCCCTCCTTTACATCAGCTCTGCAGGAGTGCCAATCTTTAAACCATTGATTTTATTAGCAGGAGTCCAGCAAGAAACTTGTTAACAGCGGCTGATGGGAAAGTTTGATGCTCACGCTGGTTAAGGCACTTCTTGTGGTGGATGAAATAGATCAGATGTGTACATATTTCATTAGCATTTTACGTCAAATATTAAAGATGGAGAAAGATTTTGCTGAATATAGTGCCCATAGTGATAGGCAATTTCTCTTAGACCTTGTTAACATTTATTATCATGTAGAGGAACGTGAAACCCAGGCTTTTCTTAAATGGCTTCCAAGGGGTATTTGAAAAGGATTTTGACCTTGTACAGTAAGTTATTTTTAACCTTTAAATCATAACTTGACTTTAAAATCTGTATAAATGCCAGGGTATTGGTTTGTTGCAGATATTTTCATATTTTGTTGATCTTCTGTTTTATAGTCCACCCACCATA